GGAAAGAAGGTTCATGCTAGTATCTGGAGGGGCAACTGACACCAGGAGCCAGTAGGAAAAGTAGAAGAGATGGGTGTCCCCAAAGCATCTTTGAGGACCTGCCCCCAGTGAAATAGAGACCTCCCACCGGGCCCCACCCCTAGAGGTCCACATCTCCCCATGGTGCCACTCTTTAGGTCACAGGCCTTTGGGGGACACTAATCCCAGCCACATTCTGCACTAAAAGACTTGTGTTTTAAGAAAATCTAATGGGGGTGGATAAATAACAGCAGGCTACAGAGGCTCCCTGAGATAGTCAAATTCCAAAATTAATTCAGTGTGGGGAGTCCCAAACAGAGTGAGATGGATCCTCCCGACCCAGGAACAGATTAAGCTGAGAGAAACCAATTAAACATACAGTCCTGGTGCTACTATTGGAACAGCTAAAAGCTCGGTGCAAACTGAACAGAGAGCTGAGCTGGTGGGGAACCTGCATCGACCTGCAGTGAGTGCCAGGAATAAAACCATTCCACAGAAAAAGGGGCTTCAACAGATGACATTTGGGGACTGGGCAGACTGGCGAGAACAAGGAGCTGTAGTGACTTCAGTCAGCTACTCCCTTCTCAAGCGGGATTGGTGGGGAGAACTTGACCTGGGTCATGCCCCGGACTGAGACCCAGTAGGCTAGCCCAAACCAAGTCCCTGTGCCTGGCGGTGCACCCTAATGCAGTGAAGCCCTCAGCAGGTTGACCAACTCAGAGGGGAGGGCCCAGCAAAGGCTGCCCCGGTCTGTACCTTTGTAATACATGGCAGTGGGTGGGTGCACCAGGTCAGACAAAGAAAGAAACTGGGGCTTCCTATATACATCTGTATGGAAGGAACAAAAAATATGAGAAGAAGCAACAAGAAAGGGTCCTTAGCCCCCATTCCTGAGAACATTAATCCAGGAAAGGTAAATGCAAAGGAGGTTGAGGACAGCAAACATACAATATCAGACACGGCACCAGTGGACATAAAGCGATAAATTCGAGACCTCATAGATGAGTTCAAAGTAGAAGTATTTAATCAAGTAAAGCAAGATATAAATAGAATAATAAAAGAAATGCTAAGCACCTCCCAAGAAAAAACAGATGGAAGAATGGAGGAACACAAAAAGGGGAGAATTGTTTGATGGAGAAAATAGAGAAAACATAGAATACATGAAGCAGGTTCAAAGAGATTACCAGGAAATTAAAAACTCCATTGAAAGCTGGAAAAACTGCTTGAAAGAAACTAAGGATATATTATCCAAACTGGAAGACAGGTTTGTAATGTGGGATCATGAAAGGAAAAATTTCTTTAAAATAACAAGGAAACGAGCAGTAACAATACAAAGGCTAGAAGACAACAAGAGGATCTATAACTTAATAATAGAGAATGTGAATGAGGAAGCAGAGGTACAAACAAAGGAACTACAAAGGCTATTCACAGAAATAATTAAGGAAAACTTCCCAAAAATAGGAAAAGGAAAAGATATTCAGATGTATGAGGCATACAGAACTCCAGCCACCTTTAACCAAAACAGAGCCACACCCAGGCATATAATAATCAAGATCCCAGAAATCCAGTACAACAACAGAATATTAAAAGCTGTCAGAGACAAGAAACAGATCACTTACAAGGGAACACCCATCAGAATTACAGCAGACTTCTCGGCACAAACCATCAAATTGAGAAGAGCATGGGGTTTATATTCCAAGCCCTGAAAGAGAATAACCTCCTCCCAGATTGATATACCCTGCTAAACTGTCTCTAGAAATTAATGGAGAAACAAAATGCTTCCAAGATAAAGAGGAACTGGGGGAAATCACAACCACCAATCTAACTCTACAGAGAATACTGCAGGACATTCTAAAGAGAGAGAGAAAAGTACCAGGATTTCAGGAACAATGGCAAGAGAGGCCCCAATGAATGGAGCAAAAAGTGAAATGAAGAGGACAAACAGACAACTAATGACGGAAAAAGCACAACAGAAATGAGGCAGAGAAGGTTGAGTATAATTTCTAATATAGATGGCCTAGATACACTAATTTAAGGGGAAAAAGAGAGAATCGCAGGCAGAGTGGATCAAGAGGTGGGGTCCACCGAGATGCCCTTCATAGGAAATATAATTAACCTGAAGAAGAGTATATGGACTAAAAATCAAATATGAGAAAACAGAACTCTAAGTGACAGGGAACCAGAGAGTAATAGGGGCAACTGGACCAGTATTTATGGATAGGTTGGAAAGACAGGCTTTAGTAGGTAAAGAAATACAACTAGAGATCAAGTACAGGAGGGAGAAAGTTCAGAAACACTTAGGTAAATAGCAGGGTGCCCCCCAATATAAAACTGTGAGTGTTAGGGAGACTTAAAAATGCACAGTACACCCTGGGGAGTGAAAGGGGAGGGAGAGTCTTTAAAAAGACAGCAGAAGATATTGCTAATAGTGTGTCAGGAATTAAAACCCGTATTACGCGCACCACTCTGCTTAGATAGAACTTAATCCGCCCAGTTTGTATACAAGCACTAGATCTGAGGGCACAGACGGCTGTCCCAAAAATATCAGGACATAGCGCAGAAATCATCTTTAACTTCCTATTAACTTATTCTGGATCCCTGTATAACTTATACTGTTATATTATGACTGATCTTAATTAAATCTGATTTGATTGCTGTTTGTTATTGACATTTTATTCAAAAGTGTTAAAGTTGATAGTATCAAGTCAGAGAATATAAACAACTATACTGAAAATGACAGTGATTCACTACAATACCCATTCTGGTTTGAATACTACCTGTTCTGTAGTTCTACACTATCTACAAAGTTGTATTTCTATTAATACTGCTATGAACTGATATATTCGATTATACTTTATTTGAAGATATAGCCAATTCTGATGATGATAACAAGAAACAGCACAGTGACCATGGTAGAACTCCTTATACAGCAGTTTTATATGTCCTTTTAGTTTTATGTGTCTCTAAGAATATGTTTAGTTCTGTCCTGCTTTGTTCTGTTTCTCCCTCTAATACAGAAAGGATAGAAATACATGTTAAGACTCATGCTTGCGTAAAACCTATAAACAGTTTATGAGAACTGATCTGATGACACGTGATGAAATGAACAAACACTTTGAAGGAAAAAAAGGCACTACAGTACTCAATGCTGATTCCAGAGTATCATGATGTGAAATCTAGCAATATTATTAATCTTTTCAGAGTGATTTCAGTCTGCTTTGTTTTGTTTAATCTCAACATAAATGAAGATACGGATAAATGCATGTATGTTCAAGTGTATAGGATTCATAACCATAGTACTAAGTTTTTATTAGATAGTTGAGCAGAATTATTTGCAGTCTCCCTGGTTGAATTCCCATTTATATGTTCCACGTTTGTATCTTGAACAATTATTTGTAAGAGGACAATATGTAAACATCAACTAGTGATTTATTCCTGTTTATTTTTTTCTTTGAAAGTATGTACTATTTCTACCTGTTTTCTGTTCTGTTTTGTCTTTAAATAAAATTTTAAAAAAAGAAAATCTAATGAAACAAAGATACAAGACTCACACAAGAAGGGACCAAAGACTTAGTACCCAAAATGCACAAGACTAATGAAGCAGTATGGAGCAGATGATGAGCCTGTCTATCAGAGAAGGGCACATAACCAAAGAGTTCCTCCCAAGGAGGGAAGAGGAATGGCCTGTGTCACGGCCAGCCCTACCAGGATCTAGGAAGAAGCAGATTAAGGCCGTGTGCACCGGGAGACGTCCAATCATGGGAGACAATGCAAAGCTGTGACAATGATGGTCGTTGTGTCGTGGGAGGGCCCTGGGCTGCATCTACCCTAAAGGACAACTATTCAAGACAGCTCCCAAAGGAAAAGCCACGAACCCACAGCGGGCGCTACAGGGAAAGATCAGGTTACACATACTATGATGCATGTGGGCCTTGTTAGGGAAAGTTTGTCATCGTAAAACACTTTCATACACATAAAGCCAAGGAAAACAAACCCGATGCAGCATGTGAAGATCCCTGGCCTTCGGTCTGCTGCTCCTCAGTCCTCTGAAGGCCCCGCATCCCCACCCTGCTTTCCCTGCCCTCCACTCACGCACTGGCCCCCAGTGGGTCACAGAGGGCCTGGCTCTCTGCCCACCACGTCTGTGTCCTCCCTCGGAACCTGGGCCGACGTGCAGCTCTGACCCAGGACAGTGGAAGCGACGCTGTGTGACTTCTGAGCTGATGTCATAAAGGACTTCTGCAAACACCCTCCTCTCAAGAGGCTCTGAGCCGCCATGGAAAACGGTCACCTCTCCTCCCCGGATGCCGCCATGCTCTGAGGAAGCCCCAGTCACCTGGAGAGGTCAGGTGCAGAGACTACCTGAATGGTCTCGGTGGAGCCCAGCTTTGGGGTCCGCCAGCCAGGATGCCACATGCCAGGGTGAGGAATCCTCCAGAGAATTCCATGCCCAGCCCCTCAAATGACACCCCCGCCAGCCTTCCTGGAACGCCCCTTCCTGAGCCACCTCACGAGCCTTCATGACGTTTGACGGTGGAGCCCGAGGCACAATAAAGAATCATTTCAGGTCACGGAGCTTGGGTGGTCTGTTACAGTGCTGGGTAAGGGGCTGCTCCCCCAATCCTGGTGCCTCTGCCTGCCTGGCTACAGGGCATTCACAATGGCCACCCCACATCTCCCTCCCAGCCTCCCAGTCCCTGGGGCTCCCCACCCACTGTGACATCCTAATCCCAGCCAGCACCTTGTCCCTTAGGAGGCCCCTGAGGACCCCTCTTGTGGGCTGGGAAGAGACAGGGAGGCCTCATCCCACAGCCCCTCTGAAGACCCTGTGACCTCCACTTGATGCTGTCAACATGCGGGTCCCTGGGCAGAGCCCCAGGTCACAAAGTCACCATGTCAACCTTCCTGCCCATCACAGCTGCAGGGTACTCTGCCCCAGGGTGGGGGAAGGGCTTTGGGGGCAGTAAGTGGCAGGATACCCAGGGCTGCTGTATCCCAGTCCCCCTGCTCTGAGAGGGAACTGGTGTGGGCACACTGGGCATTGGTGACAGGGCGCCAGGGGGCTCAGTCCCTGGGCACAGGCAAGGTGGCTGAGCAGGAGGCCCGAGGTGGCTGGTACTCAGCCCACCTGGACCCTGGCACACGGTCCCACCAGCAAAGACGCCCCAGAGACATCCAAGAAAATGGGGAGGCACCGCCCGTGCTCTGCGCTCTTCCTCCCGCTCCTGCTGCTCCTGCACCTGCCCCTGCTCAGCACAGGGAGCACCCCAAAGCCCAGCTCACTCATTGGCCAGGGCATCAGAAGCGCCTCCCATCCCCTAGACCTAGAAGCCCAGCAAAGCTGGCAGGCCAGTCAGAGGGCGAGTGATTGCTGGGGCGCCTTTGACCTCTACTTCGTTCTGGACAAGTGAGTGCCTTCCATCTGACCTCCAAAAGCACTGCAGGCAGACAAAGCCTCAGGAGACTAGGTCTCTGCAAGAGGACAGGCAGGCCGCCAGGGTTCTGTGGGAGAGACCACCTGTGGCCTCTGGGGGGCGCTCGGCGGGGACCCTGCTCAGTGCCCTTTGCTCTAGGCCTTGTTTTTCCTGTCACCCTGCAGCCCTGGCACAGTCCCTGCACCCTCAGGGCTGATGGGGGCTCTGCGTGGCCCTGGGGAAGCTGGGCTGTCCCTGGGGCACCCACCAGCTATCAGGGAGGGAGGCAGGGAGGTCTTGGTCTTGGGAAGGCGACCAGGTTCTATCTCAACCCCTCCTGCTGGCTGGCTCGGGGGACCCACGGGGAGCCTGGTGCAGCTTTCAGCAGGAGGACGCCCTCACTGGTCCCCAGCCCTCCTCCTGCAGCATCGCATCCACTCCAATGCACAGCAGCCCAGGGGTCTCTGTGTGATGTCCTGGTGTATGGTGGGCTCCTAGGTGGCCAAGGTGCTTGGAGGACACTGGGGGTGACAACATCTGGGCTCCTTGGCCTGGGCTCTTTCCATAGTGTCAGGTTGGCTGCCCTGATTCCCTCCTTCTCCGTGGGCACTGAGGGTGGAGGACAGGAGCCCTGGCCCCAGTTCCTGAGCAAAATCAGCGACCAGGAGCCCCCTGTCTCCTAGGGAAAAGTCTCCTTGCTTCCAGCCCAGTCACTTTGAGATGCCCTGGGCAGGCAGTGACCCATGGATCCTTAGCACAGCAGGGGTGGGGACTCCCTGTGGGCATCCAGGGTGAGGAGAGTGGCTGGTGGGCTGGCGCCTCGTTGGTGCAGTCCTGCCAGAGAGTGGCCACGATCCCAGGGCCCCTCTCTGCTGCCACCCTGTTGTGTGTCCCTGTTTCCTCCCCTGGGCCCTGCTGTGAGGCCCACAGGGTCCAGTCCAGCTCTGGGGTAGATGGTGAGGGCTGTGGGCTCCAGTGGGGGAGTGGATTGACGTCAGCTGGGCACTTGCTGTGAGCTGAGCACCATAGGCCTCTGAATGCAGGAGAAAGTTCTGTGCCCCCGTCTCGCCAGGGTGACGCGGAGGGTGGAGGATGCCTCGTGATTTGGGGAAGTTCAGTAAAACTCTTACGCAGCAAAAGAGCAGAGTGGAAGGATTCTCCCCTTCCCTTCCGCCTAAGGTTGAAGGACGTAGAGGAGATGGAAAGACCCAAGGAAAGGTGCTCCTGAGCCGAGGGCTCCCCGTTTCTCTCCCCAGCCCCACTCCTCGGCTCCCACCTCCACAGAGGGGCAGGCAGGGCGTCTTCCAGGCTGGGAGACGGGCCAGGTCTTTCTGGCACCCTTGGCTGGGGCTGGCACCTGAGCTCAGGCTCTGGACCTTCTGAGGGAGGAAGGGGAGCAGCTCAGCCCTGCACCCAGGCTGGCCGGGCTCCTGCACGGAGGCTTGTCTCCCGGGTTCCTCCCTTTCTACTCCGGACCTGCCACTTGCCATTTGCACCTGCTGGATTCTGCAGCTGGGGTCTAAGAAGGTGTCCTCTGCACCTGCTTCCCACCTCAGGCAGGAGGGTCAAGCTTGGGGACTAGCGCACCCCATCCCTCTCTGAAGGGGCTCATTGCTCAGCTATACAGTAACTGGGGGACAGCAGTCACCACACATTCCTGTGACCTTCAAGGGGTCCCCTTTATAGGCACCATGATCTCTGGAGAGGAGAAGGGTGGCCTCCTGGCAGGGGCCTCTGACACACTCACCAAGGAGTCCTGAACGTCACCTGTCCTTCCCACCAGGCACGGCTCTCCCCTGCCCCGTGATGCTTCCCTTGCAGAGCTGTAGGGCCCCAGAGACCTTTTCCAAGGCTGATCCCCACTGGCTGGGAAGTCACAAGGCCTTGACCTCCTCCTGCTGCTCACTCTCCATCTGGGGACAGAGAAGAAAACAACAGAACAGAACATGGGAGTGGGGGCCGGAGGAGCCTGCAGCTGCTGCAGTGGTCCACAGTGCTGACACCAGGGCAGCAACGGCCAGCCTGCCCACTCCCAGGGACATGCCTGCTGGAATGGCCCCATGGGCCTGCATGGGCTGGTTCTGCCAGCTGGTGACAAAGCCGTGCTGGCTCCCCCACCCCAAGAGCAGATCGCGCAGCTAGAACCCAGGAGTCCCACAGGAGAACCACAGGCTCTCAAAGGGCTTCTGATGGCCACGGTGCCAAGGTCCCCTCTCACCCACAGGAAGCTGGGAAGTGGGGACCTGGGCAGATCAGGGACCTTTCCAACATCCTGCACTTCCTGTGCTGGGAAGGCCCTTGAGTCCCAGCAGACAGCCTGGTTGTCTACCATCTGTCCACTGGGGACCCCGGGACAGTTGCCTCCAGGGTGATTGGAGGTGATCAGAGGCGTTGCGGTGGGCGTGGCTCGTGGAGATCTTGCAGCGAGGCGGCAAAGCCAGAGGCTGTGCTGGGAGAGGCTCTGGTCCCCTGACTTGTGTCTCCTTTGTCTCCAGGTCCGGCAGCATAGACAACAACTGGATTAACATTTATTTGTTTGTGGAAAATGTGGTGGCAAGATTTAAAAAGTACTCTTCTCCGAGCCGCGGGCTCCATTAGACTCGGCCGGTCCCTCGGGTGGGAGCAGGAAAGGGGACAGAGCTCACAGTTGCCTGGGTCTCAGTGGTGTAGCTGCTCTGCCCAGGAGCCTGGGCACCTGCAAGGACCCTGCCTGCCCCGCAAGACCCCAGACTGGGACAGACAGATGCTGTGACACAGCAGAGGGAGCGAGCGGGTGGGAGGGAGGCCCCCTGGAGGAGTGTGGACAGCCTGTGTCCTTCAGGGCCGATGTGTGTGATGTGCGTGTATGACCAGTGTGAGTGTGAGTGTGTGTAATGTGAGTACCTGAGAGTGTGTGGGTTGCATGAGGGTGAGTGTGTGTAGGTGAGTGTTCACGTGCATGCACCGAGTCTGTGTGTGTTTCTGTGTGTGTCGGGGTGCAGAGGCAGAGGCACCTGGGACTCTCCCTGGGCCCACGTCCCCGCAGGCTGCCGCACCTCGGAGGGTAGGAGGGAGCCCAGGCTGTCGATGGGTCTCTCACTGCCCCCCTTCCTCCCAGCCCCAACCTGCGCATATCCTTCATCGTCTTCTCCCGAGATGCGGAAGTTATCATGCCGCTCACAGAAGACAGGTAGGCAGGGCTGTGACCCCAGGGGGGCTGGGATCTGGTCACAGGGTGCTGCGGGGATCTGAAGGCTTCCCAGCCAGCTCAGTGGGATGCCGTCAGTGCACGAGGTGGGCTGGTCGGACCCTGAGGGACCCACACTGACCTCCAGCCTGTTGCCTGGCCCCTCGAACCCTGGTTGCACTGGGACCCACAGAGCCTGTCATCCAGAAGTTCCTATCTCTGTCCGGCGTCCACCAGACCTCAGTTTCTCCCTGAGCTGGCAGGGGGACCTGTGAGGTCCAGGGGGCTGGAAAAGCAGATGAGGCTCCTCCAGGCACCCTGGCCTGTGTGGGGCCTGCGGTGACAGGTCACTCTCTGCCCAGGGACAAGGGACAGGGAGATCAGGGGCTGGGGGCCAGGAAAGGACTGGGGGCTTTGTGCAGGGCAGCATTACCCCCTCAGTGGGCCCCAACAGGGAGGCCTGGGAAACCAGCATCAGGGGGAGATGACCCAATGTGCCCTGAGATCCAGAAACCCAGAGGCCTGCTGGGGAGCTGCTGACTGGCTGTGCAGTGCCTCGGGGGGGGGGGCACAGAGGAGAGGTGGGAGTTCTGAGCCTGGAGTTGTGGGGGAGCCCCTGTGCAGGGTCCTGGGGAGAAATCAAGGGAAGTAAGGAAAACAAGCCTGATGTAAGTAGAGGCAGGCTCAGGAGGCCCTGGGGCCCGAGGACAGGGACACTGGACGTCAGGGTCTTTTGACCTGAGGACAATACAAGGAGACTGGGCCAGCATTACCAGCAACACAAGGTGCACAGGCAAAGCTCTTAGGGTGCAGAGGGCATGGGGTGGAAATGGTCAGCGTAACGGGTTCAGCCAAAGGAAGCCAGCAACTGAATGAGCAAGGTCCAGTCTGAGCTCCGAGAAGAAAGAGAGCCTCAGGTGTTGATTTGCTGGGATTTGCTAAAATGTAGGGAGCTCAGTTCCAAAAATGCTTCTTGTGAGCCACATGAATCACCTTATTGTCGTGGTCCTAGAGGCTGCTGAATCTTCATGTACCTGGGGCCATCATCCCACCCTGGCCTCACACTTGGGGAGCTCATGGGAGATCCCAGAAGCAGAGTTATGCTTAAAGCTGGTGTCATCATCTTGCGAAGTACGATAGGGCTGAAAGACATTCCGTGGGGGGGCTGCTGAGACAGCCCAAGGGTGGACTGGAAGAAGCAGCTCCAAGGAGCCACAGGGTGAGTTAACCTCGAATCATGGTCTTAAGCGATCGATATGTCCACGTTTAGAGGTGGGCAGAATCTGGCTCGAGGGCTAGGGCAGCAAAGGGGCACACAGAATATGAAGATGCACCCTGCCAAGGCTTTGATCCCACTGCGGTCACCTGTCACACATCTCCAGCCTTGTGTCACTCAGCTGGACACAGCACCTGACAACCGTGACGTCCAGGAGGAGAGGTTACCTTGGCTTCCGGTTTAAGGAAACTTAGTCCATGGTGGGCTGGCTCCCCAGCAAGAGCAGCATAGTGGAGCAGAGCTGCTAGGTTCACAGTGGCCGTGACGCGAGGCAGGACTAGCACCATGCAGGAAGGAGCCAGGAGCCACCTTACGGTCCCCAAGATCACACCTCCGTGAGCCACCCAGACACACACAGAAAGGAGCCCCATGGTCCCCACAGGCACAGCCCAAGATGCTGACACTCAGCCTAGCGTCACGAGGCCCCGCTGGAGAATCAAGTGCTCAGCTCAAGTGGCCTCCGTTGTCCCTGTGAAGTAGCCGAGGAACGTGTCTGACCCATGCGTCAGAGGTGCGTCTGCAACAAGGCTCACTGTAGGAAGCTGGTAACGTGGTGCCAGCTGTGTGACCTCCAGAATTGATGACTGTAAATTGACTTAAGAGCAGGTGAAGCCAGGGGACTTACTTGGCGGTTTTCCCTCTTGGCAATGCTTTCTCACTTCACGCCCCTTTGCACTTGGCAGTTTTATCAGACACTTATGACAGATCTTATTGGAACTCATCCTGCTGCAAGGGGTCTGCTGACTGTGCCCAGGAACTAACTGTGCCATCCCAGCGCCCTGTCCCAATACCACCCCCATGGCGGTCTCCAACTGTGTGAGACAGGGCCACCCCTGCCCTTCGGTCCAGCTGGCAGAAAAAACAGGGAGGCGCTGAGTCCATGGGCACAGGAGAGGCCTGGTGCTGTGCTGTGGGCTTGGAGAGCCCTGAGTGGGCGCTGTGGGTAGAGAAGCGCACTGTGGGAGGAAACTGGCAGAATGGCGGAAGGACAGTGGGGCCGGGCAGGACCTGCCTGGGCCTCTTCCTCTCGTTAGCAAGGCCTGGCAGGGACAGACCCAGTACCCTCTCAGTTTGGCCCACAGCGGGGTCTCCACCCCAGGAGGAAGCTGCCCTCAGGGTCCCCACTCTGGGTGGCCTGGCTGTGTGGGCTCAGCTTGTCACAGTCCATCAGCCTGAGCCCAGCCCCCCTCCCTGCGCCCGTGCTGCCACCAGAGCCACAGCCAGCGCTGACTGCCCCGATCGGCCCTGTCTCTCTAACAGCCTCTGACAGCCCCGTTCCAGCAGCCTGGGCACAGGGCTTGGCCACCTCAGCAGCCTGAGGCCACGTCCCCTCCTCGGGCTTTCTGTGTCAGGAGCCCTGAGGTCCTCAGCTCTGGCTGCTCAGAAAGCAGTCTGGCTCCTTCCCTTGGTGGCCACGGCGGGGACAGGTCAAGGTCTGTGCAGTGAGGACAGCATGGAGCAGGCTGAGCCGGTGACCTGGGGGATCCAGCCTTCCCTGTGGAGGAGAGAGCCTCAGCCAGGGCATCCTCGACTTTTGGTCAGCACGGCGCGTGCAGGTCTTTCTAGGGCTCCGGACTCAAGCTGCATGGCCTTGGGTCCCGCCCTCACCAGGGCCCGTGGAGGCTCTCGGTGTGGTGCCTGAGACAGGATGAGCCCAGAAAAAGTCAGGCGTTCCCATGGGATCTGCTGTCAGTCTCCCCACCTGCCAGAGGGCTCAGCAGGCTGGGGACAGAGGGCATAAACCTCCAGGCAATGGTCCAGTTCAGCACAGAGGACAGAACCGCCCATCCATGTGATCGGTGGACAAAGCTATGGGTCAGCTATGGGTGTTGTGACAGCCAACTTCCTTCTTCCTGTTTTCAGAGTGAAAATTCACGAAGGTCTTAACAGACTCCAGTGGGTGGTGCCTGGAGGCTACACATTCATGCAGGAAGGGTTCAAACAGGTAGGGATGGCCGGAGCCCAGGGCAAAGCCACGTCACAGTGTAGTGTGACCACATCTCCTCAGGGCTGCTCCCAACCTGTGTCCATTCTCTTGCAGGCAAATGAGGAGATCATGAGAGCCCGCTATGGAGGTGAGCAGCCTGTACCCCTTCAGAGAGCGGGGCACACAGCTGGTGGGCTCGGGGAGATCTGTGCACAGACTCCAGGTTCCTCCCAGTCCCACTTCTGGTGCTCTTTGTGTTAGCTCCTCACTGCTGTGACAATACCTAAGAAAATCAACTTAGGGTAGAAAAGCTTTATTCTGGCTCACGGTTTCCTAGGCTTCTTGGGTCCATGGCCAGCTAGCACCGTTGTTCCTGAGCTGTGATGAGGCAGAGCATCACGGTGTTTGGTGTGTGCAGCGCAAAGCTGCTCATCTCACAATGGGCAGGAAAGGAAAGGAAGGAGCCAGGCACAAGACTCACCCTTCAAGGGCTCACCCCAGAACCTACTTCCACCAGCGAGGTTGCACCCCAGAAATTTTCCACCAATTCCCATTAGCATTAGCAGCTCGGGATCATGCCTTGGCACATAAGGTTTTGAGGAACATCAAGGACCCAAAATATAAAAACACAGTTGTCCAAGCCCAGGTCCGGGCAGTGGACAGAGTACATGTCCCAGCGTGGTTCTCATGGGGCAGGCGGCCCCATGGATCCACAAAGGACACGTGGTGTCTCTGAGCTCTTGGACCGGCATTTGGGCCCTAGGTATAGAAGGACAAAGTCCAGGACTCATCCGGCCTGTGGACACACACTGAGAAGCCCTCATTGTCCCTGGGGTCTGTCACCCCTTCTCTGTCCCCACCTTGCCCACTTGCTCCTGAGCCTTGGTATCCAGCCATGCACATGGCAGTGCAGCCCAGGACAGATGCTCCTCCACTCTGTGGTCTGGCAGCTCTGGGATGGAGTGGTAGGGCCATGTAGAGATGGTACTGGGGAAGAATGGGGTTCCCTGCCCAGGACCCTGCCCAGGAGACCTGATCAGTTGGGCCACTATCCCAACCAGGACCTCATAGGCTGTGCCCGCAGCAGGCATTGATACCACCCCTTCTGGGGTGCCTCCGCAGGAGGGGCTGCTGCTCCCCACATGCAGGGACGAGCTGGGTTTGGTGGGCGCGTGATCACGCTGTCCTCTGGGTGGAGGATGCACAGCCTGGGGGACAGCAAAGGTGTGGGTCACTAGCAGGAAGGACCCTGAACCCCTCTCTCCTCATCTGTAACATGGCCCTTGGAGAGGTCGCCTTCTCACTCTAGGGTCTCTGGGTGGTGGCTGCTGGTGTCTGGAACCTGTGCCAGGAGGCCAATGTTGGAGAGCACCAACCTTCCTGCTGTGGGTTGTGCTGGGACCTGGCAGCCTGTGGCAGTCCGTGGTCTCCTGCTGGTCACTCCTGAGCCTGGCCTGCCTGGTCTCCTACCTCTCGCTTCTTCCATAGGCAGGAAGGTAGCCAGCGTGATTATCGTACTGACCGACGGGATGCTGATGGCAGATTCATTTAGGGAGACAAGGGAGGAGGTGAGCCCAGGCATGGTTACCAGTGCTTTACCCCGCACGTTGTAGTGAGTTACCTAAGCACGCTTTCTCGTAGGCTGAGAGGTCTCGGAGCATGGGGGCCACTGTGTTCACCGTGGGCGTGCTGGACTACGACAAAAACCAGGTACTGCAGACCAGCTGCTTGGGGCTGCATACAGGTTGTCCCCACAGAAGGATGACCAAGGGGTGTGAGTAAAGGGGCCCACAGGCCAGGTGGAGAGCTTCTCTGTCCCCGAACCTGGGCAGACGCAGGAGTGGATCTGTCCCTGAGTGTCCCACTCTCCACTGTCCCCAAAGCTTGAGAGCAAGATGCTGCGTCCTTGCCTGGGGCTGGAGGCCTCCTCGATGCCCTGGCTGGGCGTCAAGCTGATCCTTCCCCTTACAGTTGACGGCAATTGCAGACTCCGCAGGACACATGTTTGGGGTGGACAGTGGCTTCAAGGGTCTGCAGAACATTGTGGACGCAGTGAGTTGCGCTGCCTGGGGACAGGCGGGGGCACTGCTGGGGCCCAGTTGCATGCTTCTGACCCCTTCTCCCCCCTCTGTACAGCTGGTCTCCAAGTCCTGTCTCGAGGTGACGTCAGTGAGACCATCCTCCTTGTGTGTGGGAGGTAAGGGCCGGGCTTTCAGAGACATCCATGGGGTGGCTGCGGCACCACACGCTTCCTCATGGGTGATTTGTGTGGCGTGCCTGGGCGACACAAGGCCTGCCCTCAGTGTGTGATGCATTGTCTATGGATGCTGCGTAAGCAAGGATTCACAGTGTGCGTGTGTAGAAACGTGCGTGTGTACTGGAGTGTGTGTGTGAAATGTGTGTGTTGATTGTGCATCCAGGTGCGTGTTTATGATGTGCACACCATGGTACACTAGGGGAGCAGCTGGGGATAGCGTGTAGGTGTGGTATCTAGTGTGCAGCGTGAGTGTGGACCACATATCAAGTGTGTGTCCTTTGCTTCCTATATGTACTAGGGTGGTGTGTGTGGGCTGCCTGCATTCTGGGTCTGCGGCGTTCCGTGTGTGTACCCGTAGCTTGCGTGTTGTGGTGTGGGCTGTTGTGTCGCTTGTGATGTGTGCCTTGAGGGAGATGAGTACGGTGGTGAGTGTGGAATGTGGCTGGTGGTGGCATGTGTGGTGTATGTGCCGTGTGTGTGCTGTGTGTGGTGTGGGTGTGAGTATACGACATGTGTGTGGTGTGTGTGAAGTGTGTGAGGTTTGCGGAGGAGCGGCCACAGGGCTTGTGGTCGGAGGCTGTCCAGTGTGTTTGTGCCGTGCTCGTGACGTGTTGCGTGGGGACTGTGAGAGGGGAGGAGTATGCATGGAGTGACATGCTTTGGTGGTGTGTGGCATGTCTGAGTTTCTGTGTGGTACATGGTGTGTGCTGTGTTTATGCCTGGCTGGTGGCATGCATGGTGTTTGCTGCATGTGCGTGTGGGGTGCTGTGTTTGCAGAGTGTGTATATGAACCACGTATATAGTTCATATACATGAACCATGGTGTATATGAACCATGTGAGGTGTTTTGCAGAGGCTGTGCTGCGTGACTGATGGTGAACGTGTGCGTGGTATGAAGCAGGGTGGAATGTATGTGGGGGATGGTGACACGTGTGTTCATGACGTGTGATGTTTCTGTAGGGAGTGTGATGGTGCCGCGTGTGTGTGGTTTGCAGCTATTCGTGCTGGGACAAATGTATGTCTGTGCAGTCTTTTGTTCTGTGTGTGACGTGTGTGCTGTTTGGTGTGTGGGCCAGGTCTGTCCACAATAATGTGTGAATGCAGGAATGTTGACTGCATAGAAGGAAAGTACGGGGCGAGTGTGGGATGTGTGTGGTGTATATTCTCGGGCATCGGACGGTATACATGCATCTGTGGTATGTGTGATAGTTTGTGATACCTGTGTTGGGAATACAGTAGGTGCATGGTGCCATGTGTGAGTGGATATTCACTGTGTGGTGGGCTCGTGGTGCAGTGTGAGTGTGCACAGATGAGTGTGAGTGTCCCTGAGAGTGTGGTGTGCATCTGATGCAGTGTGGAAGAGGATGCTTAGCCTGACTGTGCACTGGGTGTGTGTGGAATGTACACTAGCATGTGCTTTGAGTGCCAGGATGTATTTTAGTGGCTTTTCTTATTGCTGAGACAAAATACCCACCACCCAAAGTTGGAGGAGGAAAGGTTTATTTACTTAATAAATTGCAGAGGCTTCAGGGCATCACTGGCTGGCTCCACAGCAGAGGGGCATCGCTGTGGGGAAACAGCTCAAGGTGGATAAAGACAGCAAAGCAAACAAGAGGGTCAGACAAGCCTCTTTCTGTCACTTATATTGTGCCCAGCTGCCAGGATTAGGACGGTGCCAAACCAATACTGCACAGATTTAGTTAACAGCTCACTTTAATCCAGGCATTGTACCATGAATCATTGGGCACTCTCCATCCAGCCTCCTCTGAAAAGCCCCACCTAGGCTGCGTGAGGCTTTGGGAGGCCGTCCAGACACAAGCCATAGTAGCGTGGGTGTACACACGCGGTTATCGCTAACCAACCACAACACAAAGTTTAACTGTAAAGATAGAAAAAGTCTGTTTCGAAAACGCTGAAGGTCCCCGAGCAGCGTTTAAACAGGACAGCACAGGCACCCAGCCAGGGTTCAGACCGGAGGGATGGCCAGATCTGAGGTATGAAATAAAGTTTTCATGTCCCCAAACGGGGACAAATGCAAGGCGTCACCTCATGGGATGAGACAAAAGCGTTGTATGAATTCAGCATCCAGCACTGGGCCAGAGAGAAGGAAACTGCCATGCCTCACCCAGCATCCCCAGAGACAGCCAGGGTGCACCTCGCCCCCACCGGGAAGTGGCAGGGCCTGTCCCGAGGCTAGGAGTGGCAAGGACGCCCCCAGTCCAGGCCGGGTCCCTGCCTTGGTTCACTGAGGACGCTCCTGTGTGGTCTAGCTCCTTGGCCTGACAGCAGCCTCTTGGCCCAGGCCTGGGTCCCTGCTGTCCCCATGGCCCTGGAGTGGCCCCAGGTCAGCCGGCCCTGGGCCCAATCTGCAGCAGCCTCTCCCTCAGACCCTCACATGGGCCGCCTCTGCATGCCACCTGAGGACCCAGTCCACTCTGTGTCACCTGGGCCCAGGCTCCTGCCTCGGCTTCCCCCGAGTCCCTGTCACTATGTGAGGCAGTTCTGCACAGGACACCCAGCAGTATAGCAGGTCAGCAGCGGAGCTGGTGTCTGGAGGCGCCTGTCACGTCAGCTCTGCAGCTGGGAGGAAGCAGTGACAGCTGATGTCCTCACCTGGGCTTGTCTGGCTGCCCAGACGTGCACAGGCCGAGTGGTCTGTGCAGCTGAGCTGCTTCACACCAAAAGCAGGAGAGATCCCAGGGCAGGGTCCCTGACCACCTGTACCCCAGCACTGTGGCCCCCACCCTGCCCAGCATTGAAAGGGCTCGGGGGTGCAGAGCTGAGGTCCAGGGTGGAGGGGTCAGGACCAGGTGTCATCCTCAGCTCCTACCCACGTCCTGAAGCTACACCGTCTCTGCCCCTCCATCCCCCAATGTCCCCACAGTGCTATTTCTATCCACTGGTCACCACACGGCACCCAGGTGTTTGGCATCTTCCCTTCCTCCCCAGGACAATGGGTGGAGAGCCCAGAAGTGAGCACGCTCTGTCTGCCCACACCTGCAGCCATGGTGCCTCCTATGAGGGACACGGAGGCCAGATCTCGAAGCTGCAGTGGCCAAGGTGTCACCTGTGGGAGAAGGGGCCTGACCCTGCCTCCCTCCACTGGGCTGTAGGAAGCCAGCCATGTGGGGGCCACGGTTGCACACAGTGCCCATGACATAGAGAGGCATCCTGCTAGCTGCTGGTTTCCTGTGCAGAGTCACCTCACACACAGTGACAGGGACCCAGGAGGAGGCCCAGGCAGGAGCCCAGGCCCCAGATGACACAGAATGGACCAGGTCCTCCAGTGGCACGCAGAGCCAGCCCATGTTCAGGGTCTGAGGGAGAGGCTGCTGTAGGCTGGGTCCTGGGCCGGCTGACCTGGGGCCACTCCAGGCCCATGGGGCCAGGGAGGGAGCCAGGCTGGGCCAAGGAGCTGGGAATTGCAACCAGAAGGCCACAGGAACCCAGCCCGGGTGCTGTGGGGCCACCCCGCTGCCCTCTTATCCACCGTGGCCTGGTCTGGAGGGCAGGCAGGACCACACTGGTGGAACAGGAGGCTTGGGGTTACACAGGACAGTGAGCTGTGGTCCTGTGGGCCAGGAAGAGGCTGGGGTGTGGAGCGAGGAGTGGACCTCTGTGAGGAGCCCACTGGGCAGTAGGACAGAGGCCTCCTGTGCCCTCATGCTGGCCCCGCTCCTGCGATCTCCAGGGCAACCCTGGGAATTCAGGGCGGGAGGCCCCAGCTGAGGAGGCCCTCGGGACTTCGGTGTCTGTCTCAGTCTGTGGGCAGGGATAGTGAGGGAGGGCTAACACATTGCAGGGCTGGTCCCACTGCCTCTGGTCGGGGACACACAGATACTCAGTTGCTGCCTTTCGGGGGCCCTGGGAGTCCCCCTGGGGGTGATGGCTGCACTCTGCATCTGAATGCATCCTTGCAGAACCCTACACGGTGGTCTTCACTGGACAAGGGTTTCATAATGCGAAAGGCCCAGACCAGGTGATCTGCAGATTCAAGTTCAGCCCCACCAACATCTTTGGTAAGTAGCACCGTGTCCTCTGTGGATCGCACGCTTCCCTTGGGCTCCTTCCCTTCAGCCCAAAAAGCCAGCCTGAGAATTCCCAGGGAATGGCGGTAGGTCACCACCTGGAAAGTGGGCATCGGTAAACTCCAGCTCCTGCCGAAGCATCCGTCCCACCCGGTCCTCCAGACTCTTCCCTGAGAGCAGGAGCCGGGCAGCAGCAGCCGCCTGGGCCCTGAGCATGCTGGGTACAAAGGGAGCCTGCTGGGGAGCCATCCGCTCAGGCTGGCAGAGGGCACACAGGGCACCTGGAAGCCGCAGGCCACACAGAATGGGCGTCTCGGGCAGCAGGGGCGTGGCTCAGTGTGAGGAGGATTCAGGCTCAGGTGGGACGGGGAGGTTTCCACCGGTGCAGGGAAGAGAGGGAGAGAGGGAGAAGGAAGGCAGGGTGCACAGAAAGCACTAACTCCCGACAGCTGAGTGCGAGATATGCCAAGTGTGCTCCCTAAAATCAAAGAACGGATTTTAAGGAACACCAAAGTTAGCAATAGGAAAAAGTTTACTGGGAGAGACAGCTCCTGAGAGAAAGGAGGGGTCCTAGAGGGGGTTCCAACGAGGCCACTCTTCAAAGGAGGTTTTACACTGCAAATCATGAGGTGGGTACAACATGGGTTAAATCTCTGATCAGCCAATAGGATTGTGAGTATAAATGCTTAGGTCAAATTGAGCCAGTGGGGAAGCAGGTTACATATGTAGCAAGCATACGTGGAAAGAACCAAGGACTTTTTAGGAAGGGATGGATCAGGAGGTCTTGGTCACCCATCAGACTGACAGAAGTCTATCTAGACTTTACTGGACGGGGGGTAACAATTACCGTCTCCCCTGGGGGGCGTGTGGGCCTGGCCATCCTGTCCTTATCCGAGGCCTGTAACAGATGCCCCCCCAGCAACCGCTGGGTGTGTTTTTGTCTTTTGTACCGAGTCCCTGGAAGGCCTGGCCCTCTCTGACCGCCTGGAATATTTCTACCTAACTTCACCGTCTATGATAGACAAGAAAAGGGAAGGAAGGAAGGAGGGAGAGAGGAAAACAGGGAAGCCACCTGAGGCCCACATCCCCTCCACAGGCTGCCCTGCTCAGTGACGCCCCCTACTGGTCCCTGTGGTCAAATCCCCAGTCAGCCTGGATCCTCCCAGCTCACCCCACAGGCAGCTGCCAGCCAGTCCCATGACACCGATGTCCACATGGTGTCCAGTATCTGCCCTCAAAGATCCTCTGCACCAGGAGGAAAACCCAGTCCTCCCCTCACCACCCGCCTCCTGGTTCCCGCCCTTCCTTCCTCTACAAGCCCCTCTGTTCCTGCCCCAGGGCCTTGGCACTGACCACTCACACAGCCCAGATCCTGCTCCCTCGCATGGCCCCTGGCTGCTGCTGCTCTGGTGGGCCTCAGCTGAAACCCTGCTGCTCCAGGAGCCCTGACTTAACCGAGCTGGCCCCCGAGTGCAAGGAGAGCAGGACTCCCGTGGGGACTTAGGCTCCCAAGTCCTGCTCTTAGGGTTCCCATTCCCCACAGTGCCTGTGCAGTCTGGTTCCAGGCCTGGCACCTTTCTCAGTGCCCCAGTATTTCAGCATCTCCCGAAGAGCAGCCCCAGCTCCCACGGGTGGCACAGGTGGCCCGGCTCAGCACCAGCCTCCCGCCTCCCCGCCCTCCCTCTGCCCCTGCCTCTGGTGCTGCTCCTGGTCAGCCTTTCGCTCTGGGTCCCTTGGTCCCTGCACTGGGGACCAGAGCTCAGAGCCTCTCTGCCTCTCCCTGCCGTGCACCAGTGCTGTTCGGAGCCCAGCAGAGCAGGAGCTGAGCAGGGTCTTGGAAAGCAAGGCGGACAGCAGATGCTGGCCATGGGCCCTGCATGGGCTCTGCTGGCCCAGGGTGGGCGGAGGGGACAGGGACAGACACCTGGGTGCCATTCTTTTCAGATCAAAGAGCCACCAGTGTGGAAGACACTACCATAATGTGTCCTGGACCGAGGATCGATCAAGCTGGACAGTGAGTGCCCGTGGTTCTGGATCCTGGGGACAGTGTGGCCTGTGTTTGTCACCCTCTCATGTCCTGACTCTGGGTGTCTCCATCCAGGCAGCACAGGTCTGCCTGCTCCGGGCTGGGGCGCCCTCCCCACCTGCCCCCGTGGTGACCCCCAAGGTGCCAGGGACACACAGAGGCCCAGGCACTGCTGAGGGTGGACGTGGGAGAGGATGGGCCGGGAGCCTTTCCTCTGGGTCCCCTTGCTGGCTGGGATCACCTAGTGAGTGACAGAAGCGAGGACAGTGACGCCCTGCAGACCTCTCTGCCATTCAGCTGTGGCCAGGATGGCACCATGAGCCACGAGGACGCTCACTGCCCGAGCCGTACCCCTGCGAGCTGACCTTGCAGTGGCCTGGAGGAGACCTCAGAACGCACCCACCCTCCCCCTGGGAGCTGCAGGAGCTGGGGTGGTGAGAGGGGGCCCTGGGCTGCGGCGCTATCCGCCCTGTCTCTGTCCCCATCCAGGGAGCTGTCTGTGGAACTCAGCCTCAACAGCGGCGCCAGCTTCATCGGGAGCAAATCCAACATCTCCAGCACCGACTGTATGAACACCAGGGTAGGGCCGTGCCCAGCCTGCGGAGAGCCCCGAGATGGACACAAACCCACCTGGGGAGGTTGAGGCAGAGGGTCCCAGCAGCACAGAGAGCAACACAGCACACTGACCTGGGGCCCCAAGTGGGTTCTCCCGGGCTACCAGAGGCGGAAAAAGCTGCTGTCTAGAGCTCTACCAGGGGTCCAGGGCACCCAGCCCTGGCACATACGTGTTGTAGGCACAGAAATTGGGCTCCACCAACTGGGTAGGAGTGTGTGTCACTAAATCAGGGCCCCAGATGCGAATGTGGATCCAAAGCCACTCGGGACCCTGCCTGAAGCCCACACGGTGACAGCCCTGTCACCCGCCCCATCATCTGCACCCTCCCTACCCTCTTCATTCCACAGCTCCCAGCAGCCCCTCTGGCTAGTCTGTCCCTGCACAGCCTCCTCAGGGCCACCCGGGACAGCTGTGGGAGGACAGCACAGCCAGGAGAGGGCACAGGAGCACATCCGGGCTCTGCCAGCCCACGGCCACCCCGTCCCCTCTCTGCTGCCCGTGCTCTCAGCCCAGTCCCCTCTGCAGCCCCCTTAGACCCAGCGTGTGACTAGGGAGGCTGGACAGACAGCCAGTGTCCCTTCACTCTGACAACCAAGGGACAGCCCCATCCCTTCACCCATGTGCATAGGGCCGGAGCCCCCAAGTGCCCGGGCAGAAGGGGGCTCCCTACCCTGTGTGAAGGGACCCACTGAGGCTCAGAGAGGGCGGGATGAGCCCAGGACACAGACACAGGAGGGGGACAGAAAGGCCTGGGGGAACCTGGGTCTCTTGTCCTCCCCAGGATTCCCAGCAGCCCCACCTCCCCACATCACACCTGTAGTTTTCTGAGTCCTCAGGACGCGCTGTGCTAGGTCTGAGAGCCGGAGTGAGACAGGCGCCGGGCGTCCTTGTCCTGGCGGAGCCCAGAGACCTGAGCTGGGCGAGGTGTGGCCTGCAGCCTGGGGACCAGCCCCGGTCCCTGCCTCACTGTACTGTGTCCCTCATTTCCGGCAGGCTAGGAACGATCTTTGGAGAGCAGGAAACAAGGTGGGCCCTCGGGAAGACGTCCCCGGCCGTGCCCGGGGCTGGGCCTTGGTGCCATTGGCCTCACCCTTTCCCACAGAAACTGTCGACCAGCATCAAGTCCTACCTGAAATACCTGCCACTGCTGCTGCTGATTCCGCTGCTGCTGCTGCTGTGCTGCTGCTGCTGGTGGCTGTGGAAGCGGAGGGTGAGGGCTCCCTGCTGCCCGGCCCTGCACACGGGAGCCCTCAGGACATGGCCGTGAGCTGCCTTCCGCCTCCCGCAAGCGGCTCTCCTAAGCGGGGCTCTCCCCAGCCCATCGTCCAGGAGAGAGGACTCCCCGAGAGTGCTCACCAGGACATCTGCAGTCCTCAGGAGGACGCATACCCAGGAGTCTGTATGGGGTCGGGGACAGGGTCCCCACAAGCGCTGATGGCCCCGATGCAGGGCGGTGCTGACCAGGGAGGCGTGGCCTGGGGTGGCTGTGCCATCAAAGCCACAGGGACCTGTGCATCTCCATGCAGCAACACCACTTCTTGTCACTGAGCATGGAGTGCACAGCCATGCTGGGCCAGGTGGGAGAGGAAGGGCAGCTGCCATCCTCCCATGGGAGCCACCTTTGCTTAGGCACAGGCAGGGACATAGCCAGGGCCCGGGCACAGTGGAGCCGCAGTGCAGAACAAGACTGGTACCCGGGGAGGGAGAGCCGAAGCACTGGGCAGCAGGGGCGGAGGAAGGAGCATGGAGCTGGAGGAGAGGGGACGTCCACCCACAGAGCAGGTGCCCAGCTCTGCCCAGGGAAGTGGCCAGCAGGGACAGCAGTGAGGGCAGAGGACAGGAGTGTCCTGCAGTGCAGGAGGGTTGGCTGGCGACAACTGTGTGCCAGTGTGTCCAACAGCCCATCTGACCCAAACCTCCGTTTGGGTCAGATGGGCTGTTGGACACAGTGGCACAGGGACAGGGTAGCCAATGGACACCCCGAGGCCGTGTCCTGCTGGTGCCCTAGACCAGGGTCCCCTGGGCTACAGGGCCCAGGCAGAGCCCGCCCCAGCACCCCCTGCTGTGTCTGTCTTCCATTCCAGCAACGAAAGCGGTCACCTCCTCAGCCTGTGCCTGAAGTAAGTGGATGTCTGGGCCCTGACGTAGTCACACACCCAGGACTGCGCTGTCCTTCCAGAGGGGCACTGAAAGCCTGTGACTAGGGTGCCACATTCACCTGAGCAAAGAAGGGGGCGGAGGGTCAGGAGGGTAGAAGACTCCATGACATCCCCAGAGAGCACCTCCAAGCGCCAGCACCTGCTGGCCCTGGGACCAGGTCATCGGCACAGGCCATCTGGGAGCCCTCAGTGACACCACAGCGACACCCACATTCTTAGCCCTTACTATGTCTCTCTATGTTCCAGCCAGAGAAGGAGCCACCAAACACATGCCGGAAGGAAAAGGTGAGCCCACTTTGCACCCCAGTGTTGTCCCAGGCCCATGGGGGATATTGACTATCACATGAGGCTCCAGAAAGCCCGTGCCCAGGATCCCTCACCCCACCTGGGGCAGAGGGCCAGGAGGACAGGGCAGGGGACTCCGTGACGTCCCCGGGCAGCAGCCCCGGCTCCATGTCCTGCTGCCCTAGTCTTTGTCACAGACCCAGCACCTTGGGGCCTGTTCCGGTAGTCTCCGTCCCTACTGACCTGCCTGGCTGTGTGATCCCAAAGGTGCCTCTGGGATCTGAGGGCTCAGGGCTTTGGGAAGGGCACACTGGCCCCGTGTGCGCCCTGGCTGCCTGCTGAGCATCTTTGGATTCGTCTTCATGCCCACCTCCTGCAGGGCAGGGCTGGCTGGGTGCAGCCTCAGGACTGCAGGGCTGAGGATGGAGGTGTCTGGGGGCTGGGCTGTGAGGGCACCCCCAGGGGAGCACAGGGATGGGGTGGGAGGCAGCCTGGGGCTCAGCTGGGCTGGACCAGAAGTGCTGAGTGCCTGGGCCAGGGGACCAGCTGGGGGTAGTGGGAAGCAGGGTGCTGCCTGGGACCTGTGCTGTCTGCATTGTGGCCTGAGGAGGTGCATCTGCCAGGGGGAGGGGACAGTCAGTGGCCAGTGCCCTGATCCCTGCAGACCCAGCCAGGCTTCTGCCAGCCAGGGCAGCCTCGGGAGACTAAGGCCCTGCTGTGGGCTTGGGGCAGTTGGAGACCAGGGGAGTTTGACTGTCCTTTCATGTGGGGCCCTCCCGTCACTCGGGTGCTGCTCAGTGCCCTTTGTGTCACCCCAAAACCTTAGCTGATCCCTAGTGCAGGTGCCAGGGCAGAGCCCCAGGTCCCTGCCCCCAGAGCCCACAGACAGGTCTTTTTCACTTCTAGGATCAAGAAGAGGATAAGCGGCCTCCTCCCCCTCCCGCACAACCCCCTCCCCAGCCGCCTGTGAACACAAGCCCCACAGTGATAGTCTCTTGCTGTGGGTGCGGGGCCAGAACTGCAGAGGTAAGAAGGCCTGGAAGGGGCTATGACCCGGGCTGTGGCTCTAGAGACAGCAGCTCAGGACCCTTGGCCTGGGAGGGGACGGGGCCCTGTGGTACTGTGTCTTTGGTGTCAGTGGACAGCCGGAAGCCTGGCCATGTCCATACTCTGTGCTTCCTGAGTTCCACATCTGTGTTGCAGGACAACCTGGATTCCTGCTGCACCTGCGTCTACCCAGGCTGCCAACAAATGCCGATGACGTGGAACCAGCCCAGAGCCCCGGTGAGTGGCACACTGGAAAACTCCCCTGGGCAGAATGGCCACTGCTTTGTTCCTGGGACTGCGGCTCTGGGCTGAGCCAGGCCCATGCTGAGGGAGACCCCAGGATATGGACAGGGTGCTATAGCTCCCCAGATGGTGTCTGGTCTTGGCACCCACATCAGCGCTATGTTGGTGACCTGGCACAGGAGGACTGGAGGACCAGTGTGGAACCATTTACCAGATATGTCATTGTCTGGCAACCATGGGAGAGGCCACATCCTTAGGGTTCCTTCCTTGGAATTTCCTAACACCGAGGGCTGGTACTCACCACGTCCTCCTGCGGGCCAGCTGCAAGCCTAAGATTGCCCCTGTGTAATCCTCGATGAACTGCATTGTAGCTGAGTGTGTTTACGGAGGGGACAGAAGCCCAGAGATCTTGCATGACACAGTCCGGGTGGGAGACTTCGGGTCTTGGACTTGAGCCTGGCTCTCACCTCCCCACAGCCCAGGTCCCTGCAGGGTCAGCCTCAGCACTGCCTGCTCAGGCCCAGGTCTCGGAACCCCGCTTCTGGGTGGTCTCGGGTCCACAGCCCGGCCTCCTGCATAGACTGGGCTTGGGGGAGAGAGTGTTCAGTGCCCAGGGCCCGTGTGAAGCTGCAGTGGTCTTGCTCCCTGAATCTGGCGACTCCGTCTCAGTGGTCAGGCATGTGGCTATCTAGCGGCTCTGTGCTGGCTGGACACCGCAGTGCTGCTCAGGAGAAGCAGCTAGGCACTCCAGGCCCCCGGATCGGCACAGGGCTGCTTGGTGCAGAGACTCTGGCGTGAAAATGCCTCCCCCCAGGCAGAGGAGGCAGGAGAGCAGGGAGTGGACCCTGGAAAGGAACCCAGAAGGGGAGGCCCGGATCTGAAGACAGTGTTGACACGGAGGCCTGTGGCCAGGGGCCCAGTGACTATAGAGAGCTCTAACAGTGGCCCAGCTCTGCCAGGCCCACACTACCATCTCCGTAGGCTCACATTGCAGTCCCATGGAGAGGAGCCCTGTGTCACCAGAGCAGAGGCTCAAAAGGGGACAGGAAGTTACCCCAGGTAGTCAGGGCCAGCACCCAGGGCTATGTGCAATCAACCCAGGTCTCTCCTGAACCTGGAGAGGGACCCTGGCCGCCCTCTTCCTCCTGCGTCACCATCTCCTCTGACCTCCCTCCCTGCCGTAGTCCTGGAGGCCTTACTGTGGGTTTCCTAAGGTTTGGGCCACGCACCCAAGTCCAAGGTGCATCTCCTGTTCCCTAAGACCTTAAAAAGAACTGCTCCCAGGAGCCCCCTGTGGAGTGCACAGCACCCCAACACCAGCCCGGCCTGCTCAGCTAGCTCAGCCAGAGTCCCCCTCCCAGGGTTTGCCTGGTGCTATAGAACAGAAGCGGCCTTTACACCCAGCGGGGCACGTGAGGCTCCTGTCTGGTGCAGTCCGCTGGAAGCCTGTCTGGGAAACAGTGCCAACCCAGTAACTCACCCCGGCACAGGGTGGCACCATCAGCCAAGCATCCTGCCAGGACAGACTTTGCTGCTGCTGCATCTCTGCAGGTCACCTGTGCGGTCCACACCTCTTTCCCCAATCTCTGCTCAGAGCCTCACCCAGCATTAGGGTCCTGATAGGACTGGCAGGGACCCCTCTAACCTCCTCCTCCTCCTCCTCCTCCTGGAGTGGGGTGGCCACTGGCCTGGGGGTGAGGATGAGCTTTGGAGCTAATGAGCCTGTTCACATGGACCCAGCCTTGGACTTAGAGGAGCTGCTGCCCCTCACACTATCGACGGGTGCAAGCAGGTCCCTGACGCTGAGATCAGAAATGCAAACTGATTGAGTGGGGACTTTGTCCTCAATCTAGAGCAGCGCAGAATATTAAAAGAGAGGAGACAATTAGATAGGAAAAGGGTTGAATGGGGCACAGAGGGAGTCACCACAGAGCAGGCTGTGGCGCTCTCTGAGGACAAAGGGCAGGTTCTGCCTGATAGAGGCTCTGATGGGCAAGGGCTCTGGGGCTGAGGCGAGCTGATTTATTTTGTGAGAGTGCAGGGGTTGAGTAAACCCTTACATGCCTGAGCTTTGGCACAGACTTTAGGGAGGGAGAAGCCATAGGGGCTTCTGGGAAGGAGGTCTGCACAGCTTTGGACTGTCAATGACTGCGCTGTCTCTAGACGGGGGAGCTACCGCAACCCTCCCAAGTCCAGCATAGCGTCTCTCACCCTGTCCTCCACCTTCGGGTCAGGTTTCTACTCTGCTTTCTCACTGAGCCAACTTGCGGACTTTGAGTTTTCCTGAGGATTTGGGACACGGTGGGTCTGGAAGGGAAGTAGACTAAACGTAATCAACGGAAGGCCAATCTGAACAACCTGGGTGACTTCAACAGGGTCCTAAAAGTCGCAGTGTTCTCAAAAGTATGATTTGTAGCATTTTTAAGATTTAGCACATTGTAACTTAGGAAATTCTAAAAAGGCTCAGTTTACCCTGAGGGGGGGTTCGTGAACAACAATACAGGAATCCAAGCAATCAAACTGATAAATTTGGAATTTAATTAACCAAGCTCAGGACCATTCATCTACAGAGTCCCTGGTTCAGGGTCCAAACAAGAGACCCCGATCTGGAAAGTTATAGAGTTTTTAAAAGAGAGAATCACAAAAGACATCCTGTTGGAAACAATTCAGCTTGAATCTTTCATTAATTTTTGGTTGACACCTGTATCCTGCTTCTTTTGTTGAACAGGTTAATTTTTCTCCTGTGGGTACAGCTCATTCTGTTTTTCTCATGGTTCTTATACCCTGAGTAATTTTCCATTTTCCTGAGTTAAAGACAGAGCACCAGTTAAATGCAAGGCTCAAGATGGCGTCAGTTATGCCAAGCCACAACAACCCAAACCTCTCTGCTTCTGCAGCCAAAGCAGGCCGTTTTGTTTGATTGCAACTTTTGTTAAATGCATGCGTCTCTCTGCCCCATGGCTGGCAGCTCCCCAAAGGAAGGTTTCTCACTGTGCCTTTTCTGGACACAGAAGAGAAGGAGCAGCTCTCAGTCCAGTTCCTTAAGCTTCAATCAAACTCCCCATCACATCAAGGTCGGAGTTCTCTCACCTACCCCAACGCAGCCCAGTGCCTCTTAGACCAGGCGGGAAATCAGGCTAACAAGGTGAAGCTCACTCTCTCTCCCTGAATATGATTCCTGCAGCAAAGGCACAGCCTTTGCAAGGACCTCCTCCCTCTGCGGCCTCCTGGGGCCGTCTGGGATCGAGAGGACATTCCATTCTCACAGCAGCCACCAGGGGTCGCAGCTTCCTCTTACATAAACTCTGTTCTGAGTGCTTCCTACAAATAGATGCTTTTCATCAACCCAACAAATAATGTTGAAAGGAATCTAGGTTCTCTGCAGAGCAGGGTAAGCCGCCCACAGCCACAGGCCAGGGGACCACAGGGCACACTTCCCACAGCCCGGCTCCAGGCTCCCCCTCCGTTGTGCAAGGCAACCACCACGCTGCACTTTGCAGCGCTGGAAAGTCAGCCTCTGATGTTAGTGATGGTCGTGGAGTGGCAGGCTTGTCGCTGTGCAGTGAACTGACCCAGGGGAAGCAGTGTCCCCGGCATCACGCTGTCAGAATGAGATCTGTGAAAACATCCGGAAAGTCCACCTTTCTGCCCAAAATGTGCTACATGCAAAACAATCGTGCATAGTCCATCTTGACTTTCATACTACTAGGCAACCTGCTAACTTCGAACTGTGTCTATTATTTACCGGGAAACAGTCGTTCTGAGAGCCGTTGCAGCTTGGCGATAGATGGGCCGCAGGATGCATTGAGGAGCAAGGACCTCCTGGATTCTTCTCCTCATGAAGGGAGCACCTGTGATAGAGCCAAACTGTGGCTCTCCACTGCTCAGGAGCCCTAATTAACTGTCCTGCAAGCCAGTGCCATCAAGGAAAGTCTCGGGTACTAGCTAAAGGTTTCCATGGCAGCAGGCGGCCCTCTAACTCTGCCCCTGCCCCCAACGCATCCCCATGCAACAATCAGGAAATAGAGACAGGAACAGAGCTCCCAGCACTGGCAGCAAAAGCAAGTGGCCAAATTCCTGCTGATCACTGTGAGAAATGTCCTCTCACCAGGGATTGGTTGAGAGATGTCAGAAATCCCTGTTTGCTGGCTTAGATCTCTGAGTGCACATTAGAGTAAATAAGCAGACAGATCTAGGGCTGGGGATTTAGCTCAGCAGCATAAGCGCCTGCTTTGCAAGTGGGCAGTCCTGAGTTCGCTACCCGGTACCAAAAAAAGAAAGATCTGGAAATAAGCAAGGTAGTTTCCATTCTGTTCCCAGAAATGATAAAAACCCAAATGCCTCTGCCACAAAAATATACCCACCCACAATGAAAAGACCACAAAGCTTTACTCATCATGGTAAGAGAAAGTTTGAAAATATAAAAGCCACAATGTCACTTTTTCCCAGAGAAATCCATACTACTTTAGTGAAAACTGTAATCAAACATTTTAAGGAATTTGACCAAAATGATTCCAAAGTTCACCCCCAAATAATAAACTTAAGGAATTTTCATAAAGAAAAAGTAGTGAAGGAAATTTTGCCTAATCCCAGGTCAAGACCTGAAGCTCAAACAATTCAAACAACTCAAATAATTCATAAAACCACACCCCCAAATCAAATCAAGCAGCCTCCGCCTGGAACCAGCAGGCTGTGCTGTTACAGGAGTCCCCTCCGGTGCCCAGAGCAGGCACGCGGGCACTCTCGGGTGGACTTCTGTGTGTTTACTGCGTGCTTAATGGTTGTGTAAAGTTTGATTTTGCAAAATTTAACAAGCTACCGGGGACTAAAGCTTCACCTCGCGATGTAATAGAATAAATCCCAAATAGTTTCAGACATCACATAGATAAATAGTACTACTGATAGCAAGGGAAATAAAACACCAGTGGATTATTTCAGCACAGAGATCTAGGTAAGCATCACAGCCCAAAGGATCTCACAAAGGAAAACAGTCACAGGCCCCACTGTCCCCATTAATTCAGCAAAGATTATTCCACGTCAGGCACTGGGGACACACTGAACCAGAAGAAAGCCCCACCGTCACGATGGGTTTACATTTTCTTTGGGGAATGTCAGGAGGTGACAAACGAATGTCCAGAGAATTAAGAGTCATCAGCATGCCGGCAAATTTCTGGTTGGCCAGAGCAGACTGACATTTACTCTGAACACAAATTGGTAAGCATCAGTGAGTGGAGAGCAAGTCAGAGGAGCTCCTTCCAAGCAGAAGAAGCCACCGGTGCAAATGCCCTGGGGCAGCTTGAACTCCGTGAAGCAAAAGACAGGAGTCAAACACGGTCTTTGTCAATCCAGGGGTCAAGTTGTTCTCGACAGCGCTCCTGGTCACAGGGACGTGGAGGAGGGAGACAGACACCCACCAGCCGTGCAGTTTGGAATGTTGATGGGAACAAGCTTTGTTGAAACAGCAGTCTTATGTCTGGGCTCATAGACAAAAGCTCTCTGACAAACGAATGGGCGAATAGATGCATGGATGGATGAACACGCCCAGGAAGATGCAGCCCTGCGAGCAGATCCGAGGCCCTTTCTGATATAAGGAGGCTTTTTGTATCTGATGTATGTGAAAGGCCAGGAATCTATTTTGGGGACAGTAGTGGTGGGTGCAGAGGAGCCCCTGGGGCGGTTTCCAGAGCAACCACAGCAGAACCTGACTTGGCCACGCTGGGTGGCTTGACCTCGCCTAGCTCCACGTTTTCCGTCTCTCAAAAAAAAGGATAAAAAGCATCCCCTGAAGTGTTGGTTACTTTGTCTCTGTCCCTGAGCCAATAAACCCAACACCTGAAATGAAGGAGAAAAAGGTTTATTTAGCTCACAGTTTGTGGAGGTTTCAGTCCATCATCAGCTGGCTGCGAGGCAGGATGACGGAACAAGAGCAAAAACGGGCAAGGAAGAACAAGCCTCTTTTCCCCCCTTATACTGTTCCCCCCTTATACTGGAAGCAGGCCACCACCCTGGGGTGGGAGTAGCACTCCGCTGGCACAGGCTGAGGATGTTTACAAACTGAGCACCCTGGCTGGCCCCCTGCTGAGTCTCCTAGTCAAACTTCCAAACTTCCCAAGGTATCAACATTGCATGAAGTTACTAAGAATGCAGGGTCACACCATGCGGAGATAAGGGACAGTCAGGTGCACCAGCAAAGCCACATGACCAGGCGTCCCCAGGTCCTGTCTCCCGATCCAGTCCAGGCCCATCTGGTAGCAGATGCCCTCTTCCGGGTCAGGATGGCCGGAGACATTCTGGCTGCTCAGCTGATGGGGACATCAGGAGAGCCGCCACCTTCCTGGGGCTGTCCCGGGCCCACAGGAGAATTCTAGAGCTGATCTTTCTCTCTAGATACTATTTCCCTTCTGCACTTCTCAGCGTGAAGCCCCGCAGTAGGAGTCTCTGAGACACAAGGTGCCCCGTACGATGGCAACTGGCACCTCTCCTGGGGTGGGGACTGAGATGGTCCTCTTTCTGCCTGAGCGAGAGAGTGCAGAGACAGCAGACAGATCTGGACTGGGGAGGAGACTCTCCATCTTCAGGGTTTGCCCGGCCAAGCGCTGTTGCCTCCCAGGCAGTTAGTGTAAAAGTGTGCACCGGACAAGACTGTGTCAAAGCCAGCTCCAGTACAGAGAGTGAATCTTTCAAGAACAAATGAAAATCCTTCAAGCCCTGGTAGTTAGTTTTAAGGGTTTGAGCCCAGCGCTTTGCTTGGATTAGTGTACTTGGCCCAAATTCATTTGCTGTCTGTTTGAGGACTTTTGTACAGCCTGTGACCAATTTTCCCCAGTTGCACAGAAACTGTTGTGACTGTCAGGTGTTTTAATGTCAACCTTGCCTAGTCTCGACCCGTTTATCCTTACAAAGGAGAATCTTTCCTTTGGAAGTCAGAGTCCCCCACTTCCTCCAAGATTGAATGCCTTGTTGGCTTTTAAGCAGCTACACAATGTGCAATACTTAGGTGTTCACTTTTGCTCTTGAAAAACGTTCAGAAACAATCAGAATAAAAGAGTCAAACTACTTATAGATACATGTAAAAAAAAAGTGAAAGCAGAACAGGAGAATTCACAACCATGTTAAACTAAGCGTGCAGCTAAAATGAAATATTTCATCAGGCATGAAAAACCAGGAATTTTCCAGAAAACACTTGCCATCCGCACAGACAGAAGATGAGTCCTTGGAAACCAGAAAGACACTTAGCCTCCCTCCAGAAAAGGCTCCCAGAAAAGTGACAGGCCCAGAGGGATGTGAGGTTCTTTCACTAAGGAAGCCTCACGCCAAGCAGATCCCCGATGAACGCAGTGGGGACTCCCAAGCAAAGTGAGAGGGGCTCCAGCTAGGAGAAGATGCATTGGGCAAAAAGGCGGGAAATGCGGGCCCGAGGTGGTCCCCCAATTCGCTGATGTCCTCTACAGGTGGCTCCATTTCTAACACCAATACAGCAAACTAAGTCACCGGCAGGGATTCCCCGTGATGACCAGTTTACTGGGGAGACGGAGAGCCTGGTAACGGGAGCGTGCACGGCGGGGCCCTCTACGGGTGGATTTAAAGAGCCAAGCAGAGGGAAGCTAATAAGGGAAGACAGGGATTGTGTCCTTATTTTGAAGCAATACTCCTTGGTCACAAGGGCATTCCGGGATCAGTGACAAAGGGCGGCTTTGGGAGCACGGGTGGTGGATGGGTATCTTTGTATGAGTGGTTTTTGGGATAAGGGATGCGCCTTTGGACACCTGCGTCTACTGGGTGCTGCAGAGCATGCATTTGTAAACCCACCACCCACCGATGTGAAAGCTTCACGGCTGTGGTCTGGCAGAGACTTTTGCAGTTGTGCTTCTGGGACAACCACGTGCGAGATCCTGTCCTTCGTAAATTCAGCTTTCTCTCCTTTAATTGTCATTTTGATACGTGCTTGACACAAGTGACTCCACTTGGATTGCGGTTTGATTTGAGTCACATGCAGTCTCAACAAGGAAGGCCCACAGCGCCCGTCCCGATGGGTCCTGACCTCCCCGCTGGCACCCACAGCCTCGGGCCCGACTCCCATGGGTGCCTTGGTGACCGTACCCCTCTTCTCTTCCTTACAGGGAAGGTGCACCGACATCACCCTGTTAAGCGCCCCCTGCGCGCAGGGCTCCTGTGGCCAGAAGATCTGCCTCCAATCCAACAGGAAGTGCTGCCAGCCCACACAGCCAGCCTATAGCTCCAGGACCTGCCACCAACCCAACAGGGAGGGCTACCCTGTCCCACGGGCATCGTACAACCCGAGGATCTACCTGCAACCCAGCGGGAACTGTTTCCCCGCCCCAGAGGTCCCGTACACCCCCAATATGTACCTGGTGCCCAACCAGGAGAATGTCCCACGCAACATCTACGCTCGGTGCCAGCTCCCGGCCAAGTGTTCCGACTGCACCTCCAGGGTCCTCCCGCTGCTCTCACCCCTCACCCGGAAATCTGCGGAATCCTTCAGTCCCTCGAAATCCTACCGCTCCCCTTCCAGATCCAAAAAAATCTATGACTAAGATCTTTGATACTGAATTGAACGTAACGCTTTCTGTCCTGGTTCATCCTCAAAAGGCGCTGGGTTTCATTGCCAAGCAACAAGTGGTACCCACCTAGAGATGCTCCAATCTGAAATGTACCCCAGCTGCCTCTGCCAGGACACGCACCCTGGTGTGCTGTGGTGCCAGGCAGGAAAGAGGCTTGTTCCCACCCACACTGTCACCACCAAGGGGCCAGGCTGCCCAGTTGTCCCTAATCCATCCTGAGCACCTCCCATCTGCCCCCCAGCTACCTCCAGCTTGACAGGTAAATTTCTGTGCAGTTTGCACACGCAGAGAAAGGCCAGGCTTTGGACTTGACTCAGTGTGGGTTTAACACGATGGGCAGCGATGACCACACTGTCCCCACGTTTGCAAACTGACTGGGCTGGCTGGAGAGACTTGTGTCACATATGGAGGGTCGTTTTCTCTGGGTCCCTTTCCAACCTTTCATTCATTCTGGGAGTGGCTCTTTCTCCCCCTTCTCCAGCTTCTCTGTCCTGCGCCATCCAGAGCTGCCACGGTCTGGGTCCCATGCCTGGGTCCCGCCTTCTGCCAGGATGGGAGCTGGGTGTCTCCCACCCTTCCTGGCCTCTGCCCTCCGGCAGCACATCTGTCTCTCCCTGCACTCCACAGAAACAGAGTCACAGCGTGGGGATTGGAGGAGGGGCTGTGACCTGGGGCTGGACAGGCTGGTCTGGTCTGGCTCCCTAAGAGACTCGGCCCCAGAGCAGCGGTAGGAGGTTCAGAGAATAAGCAGCCCCTCTCAGGAAAGGACTGGGGTCTCAAGTCCCCATCAGGGCACACCCCCAAAAATCAAAGAGGCCGGGCCTGAAACCCAGGGCCTCCCACATGCCAGACCAGTGGTCTGCCTCTGAGCCGCAGCCCCAGGGCAGCACACAGGCTGCTGCCGGACTTCAGAGCTGAACCGAGGCAGTGCCCACCCAGCGTCCAACCACAGAGCCCTCTCCTACAAAGGGGCTGCCCGTGGCTGTGCTCGGGGCCTCGTGAAACCTTGGCGGGTGTGGCCGTGGGCGGGGCAGGCTCCTCCAGAGTTGTCCTCTGCATGCTGAGAATCCTGACTATCCAAGTCCAGTGAGTGGCCCTGCCACCCGCCTCCTTCATTCTGTGCCTTTCTGGCACCACCTCGCCTTCTCCTGTCCCCTTGGAAGCTGAGCTGTGAGGGCAGGCAAAGGCCCTTAGCTCTGCCTGCCCCACCCCTGCACAGTTTCTCCCCAGGTCTTGCCTCCTGCCTGCTGTCCTCCTCCTCCAACTGGCCTGTGCCCCTTAGGATGGGAAGACTGAGCCCAGACAATGAGGTTTTCTTACAGATCTGGAGGCTAGAAATCCAAAATCAAGGTATGTTTGCTTTCCGCTACTGTAACAAAAAATACCTGAAATCATCAACCTAAAGAGAAAAAAGATTTGTGTTTGAGGTTTGAGGCTTGGTGGCTTCAGTCTGTGGCTGAGTGGTCCAGTCGCTTTAGGGTCTGAGGTAAGGCCACACGTCGTGGTGGGGAGAATGAGGTGGAGCGAACTCTCTACTCCTGGTGGCTGGGAAGGGGGAGGAGGGCTCAGGGTCCCCATCCCATTCCAGGCCGTGTCCCCAACCACCTATAGCCTCTCCTGAGTCTGCCCCACAGAAGTTCCCACCAATCCCCAACAGTGCCAAGCTGGGGGCCCAGCCTTACACACACAGGTCCTAGAGACACCTCAGATCCTATCCGTGGTATGAAGTGGGCACAGTCCAGGGGCTCTGAGTGCCCAGGAGGCCTGAGGGCAGGTGGCCACTTTCCCATTACCTCTGCCCACGGTCCTCCCGCTGCCTGTGTCTGTCCCCATCTCTTCTTTGAGGATCCCAGCCATCCTGGATGGGGTACAGCCCCCTCATGGCCTCATTTAATTTAATTCACCTCCGGCAGGGCCCGTCTCACTGGGTGAGGTCGTGGACACACTGCCTGCTCCCCCACTCCCGAACTCCTGAGCAGCTGCTGCCACACAGTGGGGTTGCGGCATGGGACGGCGGCTCAGGACCCAGCAGCCCAGCCACCCATCAGCTGGTGACAGGACTGTGGAGAAGTGTCATTTCCTCTAACCGTGAAGAGCCAGGGTGGTGTGGGCCAGCATCCTGGTCACCTGGGTGGTGGCTCCAGCCTTGTGATCCGCAGAGGCTCTGGGGCTCTGGGGCTCCAGGCCAGAAGAGGTTCACCTTGGGAGCCCAATCTGACCCGGGAGTCAAACTCAAGGGAGCAGTTTCCCAGCTCGCCGTGGGTAGATGGGGCATCACAGGAATGCAGCGATGGCCCACAGAGAAGATGGCCTGGGAGGTGCCCCGGGGGTAGGAAAGTCCTTCCTGCCCAGCAGGGCCTCGGGCATCTGATAGCCAAGAGCCGATAAAGAGGGGGAGCCAGTGTGATGGTAAATTGGCCCAGAAGGTGGCGCTCCAAGCTTATATTTGTTACTAGGGCTCCACTCAAACTGGATTTAAAGTACAGACTTCCGTCTTGTTATTTAGCTGGTTTTGTTTCCATCACGTGTCCCCATACCCGTCACATCACCTTGCAAACTACTGGAGCTACCCACCCCTTGCTGAACCTGGAGGTGTTTATTTAAAACCCGGGCGGTCAGGAGTTGCCGGGGAGGGGCCTGTCATACATCCCCAAGCCCACCGCACATTTCCAACCCCATGGCTCCCACGGAAGACACAGCTTCTCCTGGACAGCAGGGCAGCCCACAGGGCAGTGCCCAGCCCTCTGCAGGGCCAACGCCAAGCATCTGGGCGTGGCAAGGTCCTGCTCCTCACCCCTGCCTAAACACCCTCAACACACTCACCAGCGCTGATGCCAGCCACCCTGCTGTCCATTCACCCTTGTTTTAACCTCCCTCCACCCGTGTGTCCGCTTTTCCTCCGATGCCACCCACAGAGCCGGGCACTGGGCCATCCCTCTTAACAGGGCACCTGTCCCGGCCCCTCTCCTTTGTGTCCCACACACAAGGTAGACGTCAGACTCACGGTTCAGCAGCCTGCTTGGCTTTTCTGTGAAAGCTAGTGGGCGGAAAGTATACCACTCGGCATGGTTAACGCCCAATGCCTTCAATCAAAGTCTGTGTGCCAAGGCATTTCAAGACAGAGTTCAGCTAAAAGCAAGAAACTAAGTCTTCTGAGTGCCCGAAAATTCTTAGAAGCATCTTAAGGGAGAAAATGTGAGGGAAGCCAGGTCATTAATTGACTGCTAGAACGTTGACTATAGGAGATCAGACCTTGTGCCAGAAGGGCTCTGATGCTTCATGTCAGGTGGGGAGAGGAGAGGAGGATCAGCCCTCGGAATGTTAGATTTGGGAGCGGCGCCTCCTGAGCTGGGGCTGCAGGCAGCTAACTGCCAACTCACCAAGCAGAGCCGGAAACTCCAGGCCCCGCCCAGGGCCCAGCACCCAAGAGGCCCCATGGCTCCCTGCCCAGCTCTGCACTAGGCTGGTGCAGAAAACTGACCGAAGCTGCCACCTCTTCCCGTCTGTGACTGATGGGCGCTGGTGGGTTCTGCAGAGCCAAGCGCAAACTGTCTGTGAGAGGCCTGCCCGGCCCCAGCTCCGGGATTTGACAGAAACCCAAACTAAAGAGGCCCTGGGAGGGGAAACCTAGGATCTCAGTAAGGAGCATCAAGACACAAGAAATAAGGAGGCCCAGAGGAAGGCAGCAGAGCTCACACGAGATCTAACAGGGCCCTTTATTTAAGAGGGTGGCAGGGGCTTAAAACAGATCAAAGAGGGCTAAAAACACAGGACAGGATGAGTGACCTAAAAGGCCAAGTTACAGAGGCCCAAAGCCAACTTGGGAAAAGGCGTTAAATTGAAAATTTACTGCAAGCAGATGTTAAGGGAAGGGAAAAGGGCTGGGAACAAGCCCTCTTTAGGGGGCACTTCGAGTCCTGGGTCTGTCCCAGGGGTCACAAGTGCTGTGTGGGGACCTGCGTCTTTATGCAGATCTGGTGTACCAGGTCACTCTGAGTGACCATCAAGCTGGACATCTCCTGCACCTCCCTGCCACTTCCGGTCCCCGGTCTGGTCTCATCAACCACAAGACTGGCAGAACGGGCCTCGGGCTGAGCACTGGCCCCAGAGCCCCAGGGAACTTGGGGACTGTCCTCCAGGCCTGTCCCGTGGAACCCTGAGCATCCCACCCTGTGGGCCAGCCCCAGGAGGAAACCCCAGGCCCTCCTCGGCGTGCTGGGGCTGATGGGAAACCTGCTTTGCCCACACAAGCCCCTCCGGGCACCCCCATCCGCAGCCTTCTCTTCCTCTGCTGTGGCGCATCTCGCCCCTCTGCCTGCCGGCTATGGGAGTGGAATGACCAGGGCACCCACTGTACGTGACTCATGCTGGACACAGGCCACAGCTGTGCATGCAAACCCCTCCCCGCCCCCTGCTGCCTCCCTGGTGATCTCTGAGGACTCCGCAGGGACCCTGAGAGCTGCCTCCCTGCACGAAGCTCCCAGATCAGGTCAGACGCCTGCTCCCCCACTTCACCCCTGTCCTCAGCTTGCCAGGCTGGGCTGCTAGCCTCTGCTCCTTGCACAGCTGGGGCCAGGAAGCCAGCACCCAGTACCCTGGTCAATGTCTGCACACAGCCCGGAACTCTATGAGGTGTGAGGAGCACTTGAAGTGGGATCTGCGACTCTTGGGAGCTCAGGCATACTGGGTCCTCCGCACTCCAGGCACTGGGCCAGTTTCCACCATGCTCCCTGCCTCTTGAGGTCCTCCCGGGACTTACTGGGGGTGGGATGCACACAGTACGAACTCTTCCTCGAGGACCCAGCCAGGGTGCTTAGACTGTCCCCAGGCTCCGTGGGACCCCAGGCCAGAGGCCACTCCTAGGGTCCAGAGGCTCCATCAGGCCCCCCTGGCCTGGCTAAGTGACATCCAGCAGCCATGGCCGCCTGGGTACCCTGGGGGAAGAGGGTCACTCTAGACAGAACTGGAGAGCCATGAGCAGTGTTGTGGGGTGCCCCAGTGCCCACTCAGGAGAGAGGAAAGGCCATCAGGAAGGGGGAACAGGCACAAGGCAGAATGTGGGTACAGGGGCTGGGGATGCAGGGCAGGTGAGGCAGACATACCAGGCCAGAGAGTGAGGGGATGTGGAACTTGGTAGATGACACTGGGGTGGGAGACCAAGCTCAGGGGTCCCCGGTCCCAAGGTGGTCTTGTTCGGGGAGGCTTGAAAACAAACTCAAGTCACCCTAAAGAGCCACGGGGGTCATAGCAGAGGAGGCCTGGCTGGGAGGAGGCCACATGCGGCCAGCCCGCTCCCAAGGCCTTACCATGTTTGGGGTTCTGTGGATCACAAAGGGCCGGGCCAGGGCTGGTGTCTTCCCTACCCTGGGCCTTGGACCCTGGTTCAGCCTCAGGGCTGTCTTTCCCACTGGGGCATGGCTACTCCTGCAGGGGACTCATGTCCACCACCCTGAGAACCAGATGTGGCCCAGAACCTCCTGGAGAGGACACACTCCCCAGAGTCACTGGTACCAAACACCCTGGCCCTGTGGGCGTGCCTCGATGCCCACACATGGGGAGCAACAGAGCTCCTGGACAGGCCAGCAACAGCACCCCAGCTCCAGCCATGGGGCTCCCCATGGCCCCAGGGAGGCTGGCACCCACGAAATGTCCACCAATCCACAGACCCGAGGTGGCCAGTCACCCCCTCTGGTGGCATCTCACAGCACACCCCTTTTTCCCTGCAGATGGATCCCGCAGCCCACAAGGCCCAGAATCAGGCCACCTTGGGCTGATTTTTGGAAACTGCCTGGCACTGGGGTCTCCCAGCCAGGTCTCCTGCCACAGGTACCTTCCCAGCGGCTGAGAGGACCCTGGAGACTGCCATGGCTGAGTGCCCTGTCCCAGCTGCTGGCCCTGCCCCTTCCCTTACACTCTAGCCCACATCTCCGGGAGGAGCAACATACAACCCCGGGTAGAGCAAAGAGCCTTGACCCGGGGCCAGGAAACCTGAGCGCTTGGCATTCTGGGATGATTCTTATCGTCATCTGCAAGGTTTCACTGAGGGCTCCAGGGGCCAGGAGAGCCCTGGGGAGGCTTCTTGGGTGGGGTGGCCCTTGAGCCTGGGGTTACCCTGTGGGGTAAATGGGAGGTAGCTGGGTTAAGGGGTGGCCATGGGAACCACATGGGGCCTCTGGGGGACAAAGCCCAGAGAAATAAAGATAAGGATTCTTTTCAGAGAAAGAGTGCTCCCCAAGAGTGGGAGCCGCAAGTCTGAGCCTGGACAGGTGGAGATCTGCTCCTCCAAGGCTCTCACATCTCCTACTCCAGCGCACGGAACTCACGTCCACACCCTCGGGCCGTGACAGAGACTCAGGGGGACAAGCACACAGGGAACAGGGAGGCACCGGGACAGGGAGACGCCCCTGTGGACTGAGACCCTGTGTCCCCCTGTGCTCGGCCCCCATTGCACCATCGGCTGTGTAGAAACTGAGAAGCCCAAAGAGCAAGATAAAAGGCAGACAATTTGCAAAATGGAAGGAGACTGAGAGATGGAGGGAGAGGGAGAGAAGGGGGGGAGTGAAAGGGTTAGGACCCGCTATGGGGGTGCGCCAGCTCCCCAGATGAATGTGACCGTTACGGACTGCAAACATCCACTAATAGAAATTAAAATAAAAAATAAAAACTGCAGCAGGAAAAGACACAGGGTTTACTCTTTTTTTTTTTAAATGAGGTCCAGCAAAACCCGCAGGAAACTACACCCATATTTACCAAGCGCTTTCAGACCCTGCTCAGTTCCCAGCTGGCCAGCTCATGGCAGCCCGCAGCAGGGAATCTGAGGGTGTGACTGACTCCCGGGACTGACTGGATGAGCCTGGGCAGGACCTGGGTGGGGCCAGGAGCCCAGCGGGGCCCAGAGGGGAGGGGAGGGAATGGGAGGGGAGCTGGGGTGGGGCCTGGCCCGCTTACACCTCCACACCCACTCCTGCCAGACTGACAGCCTGCGGCAGAGCAGGACGCGCCCAGTCCCCAGAGCAGTGGCCACCAGTATCACTGGGTCTTCCTGGGAAGGGTGGCCGTGAGGTGACCGAAATGGCCTGGTGGAAAGCTTGGGTGAGTGGGGGTGAGCGGGGAGACGGGGTGGGCACCCAGGAGGCCAAGCCCTGGGGGAGACCCAGAAAAAGCCATCCAGGCCTTCAGGGATGGAATCACATGGGGAAGCGGCCTCCCAATGCAGGGGAGCTGGGGGAGGGGGTCAGAGGGCGTCTGCCGTGGTGAGGGCGCATTTCTGTGCATTTCCAAGGCCCCTGACAGACTACTCTGGATGAGGCCGAACGGCTGTGGAGTGGAGCAGCCAACATGGCTCAAGGGCACTGAGGGGCACAAGATGGGCCTGAGAGGCAGGCGGGCTCCTAAGGGGCCTTGCACATGGGCCAAGGGTCAGGATTGAACCCTCACATCCTCGGGGAGCCCTGAAGGCCTGAGATGGGGAGAAATTTGGACCAGCAGCGACTGGTGGGGACCCACAGGTGCCCATGCTGCAGGACAGGAAGGTTGGGCAGCCACCGGGGAGCAATGTGGCCCATTAGTCAGACTGTGGAGGGGGAAAGTCAGCAGGGGGGCCCGGCCCGGGGGCCCTCCAATGGTTCTGCCACACAGTGAGCTCTGGGGTCTGGGCAAACCTTGACTCTGCAGGTCTGGGCCTCCCTGTGCTGGGGACACCATGGGTGCCCTGTGCGGCTGGCCGGGCTATCAGTGCGGATCACTTGTCCCCTGGGCACAAACCAGGGCCAGAAACAGAGGCACAAAAGAGTGGCAGGAGCAGCCTAGCTTTGGGGTGTGGCCTCTTGTGGGGAACAGAGCGACCCAGACCCGGAGAGGCAAAGGTGTGGCGCCCCTCTGCACACAGGCCTGAGTCACCTCTCCAGTGAAGAGGCCCTATCTGACCTCACCCACCACGCTGGAAAAGCAGTCTCTGGGGCCCCAGGCCAAGTGGAGTCCAGATTCCTATTCCTAGACAATCACCCCCTTTTTCTAAAAGCTTGTTTGGGGAAGCCAGGCTAAGGCATCTGGGCGTGGTGAGGTCAGCCAGCCAGGAGAGGAGCAGGTACAGCCTGAGCCTTCCCCCCACCCCTCCTGGGTGCCTGGATCCCTCGCCTGCTCTCCAAGGGCAGGGCACAGAGCTAGGCACTCAGAGCCCAGAGGCACCCAGTTCCCAGACAACCTGCATGCCTGCGGGTGAGACTGACTCCGCCCGAGCATTCCAAGAGCCCCAGTCTGGGAAGGGCTGAGTCACCAGCAGGCCAGGGAGGTGGGCAGGGCAGGGCACGGCACGGCGTGAGTCGGGATGTGGGTGAAGTCCACACCGAGAGCTGTGTCACTTCCCAAGCGCAGGCACAGGCAGCACTCCAGTGGGCACCTAGGAAGAGCAGCACACATGGGACTTTATCGGGAAGGACGCAGTGTACACTTGCTGCACGCCGCGGGGCAGCATATGGACCACGCTGGCTGTCTGGAAGGAATTTCCACCGAGGTTATTTCTAACAGTTTCTGCTATAGAACACGATGCTCAGAAAGGAGAGGGGAAGGTCTGTTAGCAGATCTTTGAAATTCCATCAACGATACAGAAACTCTTGCTTAATGGAAAGATTCCCACAGATATCCCAGGGAGGAGAATCTGCTCTGTGGTTTCAGGATTTTATGTGGGTCTTAGATGGAAGAGTGGATTCTTAGAAGGAAGTGTAGAAAGGAAGGAGGGAAAAATAAAGGGTCTTAGATGGAAGAGTGGATTCTTAGAAGGAAGTGTAGAAAGGAAGGAGGGAAAAATAAAGGAAAGGAAGGAGGCAGATGGGTGAACGTGTGAATGGACAGATGGATGAAAGAGAGAGAAGGCAAAAGGTCGGAGAAGGGAAAGGAAGGTGAGAAGCACTTGGGAGGCTGAGGCAGGAGGATTGCTGTGAGTTCCACACCAGTCTGAACTACATAATGAGACCCTGTCTCAAAAAAAAAAAGAAAAAGAAAGGAAGGATGTAAGAATAAACCTAGAAGTTTCCGGGTGACCGAGTGATGGAAGGAGCAGGTACACAGGTACGTGAAGACCAGACTCAGCACAGCTGGACTTTCCACCGGAGAATCTGAGTCTCCCTTGGACTCCTCCTGCCCCTCCCAGAAACACACACCGGAGGGGCCACAGGCCTCGGCACAGGGCTCAGGGCCCCCAGGCACGGCCTCGATGGAGACTTGCAGGTCCACGCCCAACATGTTGGCCACATGTTGCTGCCCAGTGAGGTCCACTGTACACAGCTCTTTGTCCCCACAAACCTGTGCCCCTGCAGACTCTTGAGAAGTGGGGGTGCCCAGCTGACACTGACCCTTGTGTTCCTGGAAGTCCCCACTCGTGGGACAGGGAGGCTGGCTTCAAACCATCCTTGGACCACAAACCAAACGGCCTATCCGCATGCTCGCCAGGCAGCTACAGCTCTGGGAGGATTTTTCCTTTTTACTGCGACCCAAGATGGGGCAGAGGGAGCCAACCATGGCGGGGCCAACCACACACCTCAGAGGGCACAGCCGGGGGCAGCCTGGCGGGTTTCACCTCATGCGATCTGGCCCTGGCCACTCCAGCCTGGAGACCTAGGATCTGGAGGACTTTGTACTGGCCAAGCTAGCCAAGCTGGTCTCAGCCCCCAAAAGGAGCCCACCCACCCCGCAGGCTGCACCCCCACACACACACTCTGAGCAGGTCAACTCTCTCTCTCTTGCAGGTTGAACAGGAGGGCGTCACGGTGAAGGGCAGCGCCCACTTCAACCCCGACCCGGACGCCGAGATCCTCTACACCGCCATGAAGGGAATCGGTGAGTGGGGGGCACTGCTCTGCTCACAGCCCCTGAAAGCAGGCACCAGGCGACAGCTTTCTCATTTGCAGACCGGCCCTGTGTGCCACCGTGGATCTCTTCCTTTAATTTTTATTTTTATTAGTGTACATTTACAGCACATAAGGATCACATTTGCATGTGTGCGACTTATTTACCTGAGCATTGTGGTCTCACAGTGCCCCCTTTTCTAGAAACGACTCAAGCGGATCCCCCTTTGTGGCAGGGTAGCGCTCTGCTGTGTGTAAACACATTTTCTCTGCGCCCTCGTCTGTCCACGGGCATGCACTGGACCTGAGTCTCGGGCATGTGGCCGGGTCTGTAGCTGGTGGAGCCGGCCACACAGGTTCTGCAGCTTCAGCCTGGCCCCATGCTGGCCAGCAGCAGGGCCAGCTTCCTTCCTGGCCCGGCCTGTGCCCAGCAGGACCAGGAGTGGGCCATGCAGACCCGAGCTGGACCACAAGCCCAGGGCTGTCTCCTGACTCAGTCATGACCCTCTCCAGCCACCACCAACACAAGGGAGCTTACCTGGCCAAGCTTAAAAGGCCCAGGGGTGAGGTCCAGACCACCTGGTCCTCCGGTGCCCCTCCTCTGAGGCTAGGTCTGGGCTGCACCCCAGTATCATCTAAGTGAGGAACAAAGAGATAGAATCTGTCCCTGAGTTCAGGGACTGAGCCCAGGGCCTTCACACAGGCCTGCCTTCCAAGTCCTTCTTATGTATTTCTATCTTAGTCAGTGTCTCACTGAATGGCTAAGTGCCCAGGCTGAGCTCACACTTGAAACCCTCCTTCCTCAGCCTCCCACTGCGCTAGGCTTATAGGTGTGTTCCCCCAGATCTAACTGAGATAGATTTTCTAAGGGTCTTCTTTACACCCTGAAAATCACTGGGGCATTTGGAACCGTCCAGGTGGCATGTCCCCAGTCCTCTCTGGTCCCCCCGGAAGTAGAGGGCCTCTCACACCATGTGTCTCGCAGGGACCAACGAGGAGGCCATCATCGACGTGCTCACCAAGAGGAGCAACGCTCAGCGGCAGCAGATCGCCAAGTCCTTCAAGGCTCAGTTCGGCAAGGTAGGGGCCATGCTGGGTCCTGAGAGCAGGCCCTCAGGGGCGCTGTGTGCACCACTTAGAGGAGTCTCTGTCCCCCCCACCCCGAGGCTCAAGTCTAGCTGGTGGCTGTGTTTTATCCGGCAGAGCTGTTTGTGGCTCCCCAGCCCTGGCCACCTCCTCTCCCTTCTCCGTCTCTGCGAGGCCTGGCACTGTGCCCTGCCCCCTGGGCTCTGCTCACCCAGCCACCTCAGCCTACCTCTGTCCATAGACCCCTCCCGAAACTCAGGGCTACGCACTAACCCACACCAGTGTCTGGGGAGGCGGACAGGCCAGGAGAGGCTGAGCAAGCTGGCCAGGTCCCAGCCCCTGTCAGCAACCGGGCCGGGATGGAAACCCAGGTGGACGAGGTCCTCGATCTTTCTGCTGTTCAGTCCAGGGTCCAGGTCGGCCAAGGCCGGCATCCTGCAGAGATGTGTTCCCTCAGACAGAGACACATGCAAGACGGCATCTCCCCGTCCTCCCCCGCCCCCCTTCTGTCCTCCCTTTCCTCTCCTTCCTCTTTCCTCCTCTTCTCTGAGGGCCCAAGGCTCAGTCCTGAGCTGCCCACCATGGAAGCAGCGCCCAGTGGGAATCCAGCCGGGACTCGGGGCCCAATGCCGCCCAGTGGCCTGGTCTCCGGAGGGCCCTGTGCACACTCGCCTCTCCCTGTTCCCCACCCCAGGATCTCACCGAGTCACTGAAGTCAGAGCTGAGTGGCAAGTTCGAGAGACTAATCGTGGCCCTCATGTACCCGCCATACAGGTACGAGGCCAAGGAGCTGCACGATGCCATGAAGGTAACTCCCGAGCCGCCTGTGCTGGGGCCGACTGGGCCCGCTGGGGCCAGCGAGCTTGCGGCCCAGGGATGGCCTGTCCTCTCCAGCCCTGCGGCCCCACGCCCGGCCTTCTGGGTCGCCTCTGCTCCGCACCGCTTTTGCAGATTAGAGGGCACAGGGTATACCCAGCAGCGTGGACCACATGCGTTGATGGGAAGCTTACTTTATGGGTGGTGCCAGGGTTTCCATCTGCGACCGCTAATCCCTCCTGTGGGTGGCATGGCTTATTATTCCCAGTTACACATGAGGATGCTCTGCTGGGCCAGGGAGACACGGGTCCAAGACCACCAACTGAGAAGGGGAAGTCGAGGCACAGCCTGTCCTCCTTATCCATCCCTGCAGACAAATGTGGGGCTCCCCAGTCACAGCCTCAGGACTGGTGCTTCCTGGGGCTCAGGCATACTGAGGGAAGAGCTGGAGAACAGAGCCTGCAGCCACTTTGCTCTCTGTCCCCAGGGCTTAGGGACTGAAGAAGGGGTCATCATTGAGATCCTGGCCTCTCGGACCAAATGGCAGCTGCAAGAAATAATGAAGGCCTACACGGAGGGTAAGGGGTCTGCAGGAGGGGCTGGAGAAGGCAGGAGCTTTGGGAGCGAGCAGGGAGCAAAAGCCAGGTGTCCCCCACAAGGCCAGCCTCTGGGGCCTTCTGTACAAAGGTGCCAGGCACCTGCACGCTAAGCTGTAAAGTGAGACTGGACACGATGTGGACCCAGTCCCTGAGGGACCCAGCCCACAGGCTGCTGAGGGACAGTGCTGTGGCCCCAAGAGGATGTTCCCAGCGGACAGGGTGGCTCTTTCCTAGCTCACCCAGAGGACCCAGAGAACCACCTGTCAGGATGCATGGTCGTGGGTGTGGCCAGCTGTCCAGTTGTTCTGTATAGTGTGCAGGTCACAAAGAAAGCAGAGGTCAGCCGGCCCTCTAGGCTGGGGACCTGTAGCACACTTGCCTCTGGTCCAGCCCATCCCTGTGCTTGGAGCTTGTCTGGGCACCCAGATCACTGCTGCTGTGAATGATCACCCAGGTGACAGAACTGTGCCACCTGGACACAAAGATCTGTGTCCATGCTCTATGCAAAAGACTGGCCTTTCCTAGAAATTGCCATGGGGTAAGTGAGGGACACGGGGCTAGCAGGAAAATGGCACCTGGCCGGGATGGCCCAGGGCATCTGTCATACCCCAGGTCCTGTCTCCCTGCAGACTATGGGTCCAGCCTAGAGGAAGACATCCAAGCAGACACCAGCGGCTACCTGGAGCGGATCCTCGTGTGCCTGCTGCAGGTACCCAGCCCAGGACCCAAACAGCCCCACCCCAGAACTGGCCCATGAACAGAGCCCTGGCAGAGGCTGGGTGCATCCCAGCCATTGATGAGGGTCCTCACTACAGAGCCCCAGCCCCTCTCCTGGCTCAGACAGGAGGCAGAGCCCCTCAGAATTGGAGGAGGCCCTTGGTCACGGCGCAGAGGCTTCATATGGCCAGCACCGGGCTCCCTGCCTGTTCACTCAGTGAATCCCCTCAGGAAGCAGTGAACCTGCTCCACTGCACAGATGAGAGCCCCAAGGCTCAGGGAGGACCACTGTGCAAAGCTGCCTCTGAGCCCTCGAGACCTTTCCAGAGCCACCTGGCCTTTTCTGTTCTCAGGGCAGCAGAGATGATGTGAGCGGCTACGTGGACCCAGGACTGGCCCTGCAAGATGCACAGGTGAGTCTGCACCCTGCCCTGGCCACCAGGACTCAGAGACCAATGGCACCTCTGTCCCCTAGCATTGGGGAAGTGGGGGGAACACTGGGGAGACCCGGGAGAAGTAAGGACAGGGACTTGTGGGGGTTAAGGCTGTCCAGCAGGACTTGCGTTAGGTGGACACAGCCAGAGCCCTGTGCCGGCAGCACTCTGTGCTGCCCGGAGGTGGGGAGTGGGTTTCCCAAAGTAGCTCCCGTGTGGACAGGAGGCTCAGAGTTTTTCACGTAAAAGGAGATCAAAAGACTGAGCTCCCTGTCACAGAGACACCCGGAAAGAATGCTGGCCTGGGGTTTGGTCTTCACCTCCTCAGTCACCTTTCCCGGCTTTCTGGGGTGTCCCAATGCCAGGACCTCTATGCAGCGGGCGAGAAGATCACCGGGACCGACGAGATGAAATTCATCACCATCCTGTGCACGCGCAGTGCCCCTCACCTCATGAGAGGTACGGAGGGTGGCATTGCTGGGGAGCAGGGGCTGCCCTGATCTGGGGCTCTCTCTGCGAGCCCAACCTCAGGTCATGTGGGGAGAGAGCCAGGCAGCTCCTGGCCCCCAAGAGGCTGTAAGGGGCCAAGCTGATGGGCAGCCTGGCACCCACACGTCCCCTGCGTGTGCCCTCCTCCTCAGTGTTTGAAGAGTACGAGAAAATCGCCAACAAGACCATCGAGGAGAGCATCAAGAGCGAGACCCACGGCTCGCTGGAGGAAGCCATGCTCACTGTGGGTAAGGGGCACACGCGTGTGTGCAGGGCCCAGCGTCTCAGTGTCCCCTGCACAGACACAGCAATCCCTGCGCTGCCCACATATGCCCAGTGCCGTGTAAGGGTATGTGTGTGGGTGTGAGCATGTGAGGGAGGGACTGTGTGTGTGCAAATGTAAATGTGTGTGAATAAGTATGCATGCATGTGTGTGGTGTGTGTTTGAGAGATAGCGTGTTCAGAGGTGCATGTTAGTGTGTGCATGAGTGTGTATGTGAGAGTGTAAATGCATGCACGAGTATGTGTGAGGGCATGAGTATGTTTGGGTGTGTGTAGGTGTGTGAATTTTGAGAGACACCGTGTATACATCTGTGACAGTACATACGTGCGTCTGTGTGGGACTGTGGGAGAGTGTGCATGCGTGACAGCGTGTGTGTGAGTGAGTACAAGGGTGTGTGTCTGCATACACGCACAAGGAGCATCGGGTCCTGGTGGCACTGAAAAAGCCACCTCTCTGCACTGGAGTCAGGCCCAGCCTTAGCTGCCAACTGGACAATTGATGTGCGTGAGTAGAGTCCCAACCAAGAGCTCGGTGGTCTGGCACTGGGAACCCGGAGACCCTTCCCCATAGCAGGAGGCCAGGTCCAGGGAGAAGGCCTGGTCCGGAGCTGAGATCCTAATGGAAAGGGAGCCCAGACCCGAGCCAGGCCAGCGGGCCTCCCGTACACTCACCTAAGGGGCTGAGACCAAACAATGCTCCTGGGCAGGGAGCTCACCTCCATCCTGGGCTGCCTACATGTGCTGACCCCGTGTCCCTGACTCTTGAGTGGACATAGACATCTGAGACTCCGTGGCCAGCTTCGACTGCTGTAGTAAAACCCAGTCTCTGTTAAAGCGTTGAGGCTTGGCCTCAGCCTCCGAAGCCAGCCCCAGGTCTTAGAGATAAACCTGCTATAGCACCTTCCGGCAGGGAACAGGAAGTGTGCTGGCCCCGCTGCACTGGGCACTTCCTGTCCGCTTCTCCCTGAAGCCTCATTCACTCCCACCCCACCCCCACCATAACAGATGGTCAGGGTAGGGTAACGTAGTTGCCCGGGCAGGAGTTGGACACATGCCCTGCGGCCCTGGTGGAAATGCCACCTCTCTGTGAGATGCCAGATCTCAGCAGAGCACCCGTGGTAGATCGAATATGGCCAAGCACCCACTTGGCCCAGGCTTCGGACCAGGAGCCATTGCCCTTTAGTTACCGGGCTGAAGCCTCGCTTGCAACTTGGGAATTCAGAATGCAAGGCTCCTGCTGAAGGGGCACCCTGAGGCCCATGACCACCATCCCGTGTGCCACCCTGCAGCAGAGAGGCTGGGTTGTTAGAGGACTGGTCCCTGGGGTGAGATCCCAGGGCTGTCCGGGGCCTGTGCTGTCCTGAGAGGGACCCCCAAGAGCCCCACAAGTACACTCTGATTTCACATGTCCCCTTTTGCCTGCTCTCTCTGGGCCTTAGAGCCATGCGTGGTGCCCCAGGCTGCCTGCTCTACCTTGCCCTACCTAATACAAAGCCTCTATTTTGGAAGGAGGTGGGGCACAAAGAAATAAGCCAAGCCTTGCACAATACCAGCTCTTAGGACGTGGGGCAAGGTGTAAATAAATAGAAGTGTGGGAGACGCTGCCTACAACCGCCAGACAGTAACAGAGCTTTCTTGTTTGCCAGTGAAATGCACCCAGAACCTACACAGCTACTTTGCGGAGAGGCTGTACTACGCCATGAAGGTGACTGGAGTTTGGTCCTGCCTCCCTTGCTGTATCCCTGACCTGGCACCGACTGCACGGCCGGCCAAGCGCCACTAGCTTCCACCTGGCGGTTGTTTTTCCTTATTCCAATTGCTATGGCTCGGAGGGGAAGCTGAGGCCAGGGAAGGGAGCCGCCTCCCTGAAGGTGAAGCTGAGCAGCTGCACGCTCGAGGTTGGCTCCCCAAACCTGGGCAACGATCCTGCATCACCGCCCCTCACAGGTGCTGAAAGGCAGGCGTGAATTTGAGGTCACCCTGCTGCAATGAGGCGGAGCTGTGACTTGAACCCAGGCCAGTAGAAAAGTTCCCAGGCCACGGCAGATGTGGTCCCAGGGGTTCTAGGCAGCAACTGCCAGGAACCGAGCCAACCTTGCCTGGGTCAAGCTCAGAGGAAGGGCACCACGGTGCTCCTCAAGGGCCCAGGGTGCCAACCTCCATGTGCCTATTGCCCAAAAGCCTACCCCAACTCCACACTGTGGATGGCAGTACTGGTTTCTGGAACCAGACAGGAGAAAGAATTAGCTTCCCCGCCCGCATCCAGGGCCAGCTTTTCTGATGTATGGTTACTGATCCTGCTTGAAGGAAAGGTAGCTCCAGAAATCCCAGCCTTCTAGAAGGCCACTCCTGCCCAGAAATAACCGAGGAAGTTCGATTCTCGCAGGCAAGAGGCTGGCTGCAGGGGGTTCCGCCTGTGAACTGTGAGGCCAGTGAGGTGACAATGCAGAAGCCTTTCCCTCAGCCAGCGAGCTTTCTGTATCAGACCCTGTGGGGCAAACCAAACACACCGCCCTGCACTGCGCCAGCTTCCCTCTGGCGCTTCCCTGGCCCACTCTGCCTCTCCTTCTCCTTCTCTCCCCAAACCCCAGAACCCAACTCCACAGCCTTGTCCAGCCCTCAGGGTTGGGCAGGAGCGGTGAGAATGGACACTTGTTGCCTCTGTCTCATCCAGGGAGCAGGCACCTGCGATGGGACACTCATAAGGATCATCGTCTCCAGGTGTGAGATCGACTTAAACCTCATCAAGTATCAGTTCAATAAGATGTACGGCAAGACCCTCAGCAGCATGATCATGGTGAGCCAGAGTTCCAGCCCAACACCTGGGGCGGGGGGTGTAGGCTTTGCTGGGAGACCTGGATGCTGTGATCGAGGTCGCAAATACCTGTCCTCTCCCAGTGGTGATTGGGATATCACACTGGTTACCCTGGGGTGCCTGCAGCCCATAGCAAGGAGCCTGTGAGCCAGGGAGAAGGATGGACACATGAGGAGCTCGTGGTGACCAGAGCATTTTGGATGCCCTGTGTCTGCCCAGACAGCTGTCTCTGCGTCCGGGTTATGCCTGCCTCTTTGTAAATGCGCCAAAGCCATGCAGAAGCAGCCACATGGAAGGTGCCAATGGGAATAACTAGGTAGCAATCAATGGGGTTGGGTAGGACTCAGGGGCCCCTCTAGACGTAAGTAGCCCTGGCGGTCCATTTTAAGGACATAAATTGGATGGGCGCCAGTGAGTTCCCTCACAGCTCCCACTTAGGGAAAGCTCCAGAGTCTTCAGACAGCTAATGATCGTTGCACCGCTATACCCTGGAGACAAGCGTTTCATCTGGTGATTAATGCAAATTGAGACCTTGACAACTTCATTAGCAGAAGTCAAACCAAGACAAATAAGTCCCGGAGGCTAGAATCCACATGTTCACAAAGACAGTTCTGTTCCAAGCCGTCTCAGGGCAGAGTACCAGGAAGGCAGTGATGTGGCAAGCGCTGGAATGGCTCTTGGTGAGGGTTAGAGGTCCCGGCCAGAGACAGGAGGGCTGGGCACAGGCCGACCGACCCCTGCTGGGTCACCACAGACTGTCCAAGCTGAAGTCTGTCAACTATGCGTGGTGACCCACGGCACCAGAGAGGTCTCTGTGACTTCCCAGGTTCCAGTTAGAGAGGGCTCTGGCCACACGCCTGAAGATCAAAGCACCATTAGTAAAAGCAACCCCTTCTGCCTGTCTAACACTGAGACCCGGGGCAGAGAGGGACCCTGAAGGCCTGGGACTGCGGAACTGAAGTCCGGCTGTTTATCCAGCAAGGCCTGAAGCCCATCCTCTCGGATTTGTGCCTCATGTCACTTAAGAAAATTCAGCTGCTGGTGTGATTCAGTTGGCCATCTCCTTTTCTTCTGAGTGTGTTTTCCAGAGTGTCATCAGAGCAAAACTGATTTCCAACCGAGCTGCCAATGCTAAAAACTCTCATGCAGAATTGATCGGAAACTCCATGTACAGTGCATGTATTTGAAAAAGCAGATAAAAGTGGTTTCCCCCAAAAAGGAGAAGTTTAAAACAACCAGAAAATGTTCCCAAATTGTCAAGGAAGAGATCACTTCCATGGGATCTAAACTGCTCCAGAGCAAAGCAGAAATCACCCCAGCCCCATCCCTACCCAAATCTGCAGCCTCGGGCCGGAGCTGCATCAGCAGCCACTGGATAAGCAGTGCATCATGGAGAATTAGCCGGAGAGAGTGGGCGAGCCCCGTTGGTGGGGGGCTCTGAAGGTGACACAGGGGAACCCCCCAAAATGAAGGACAGGGAAGAGGGGTGACATAGCCCGGACCCCTTAAAGGAACAGACCCTACCCGGGGAGCACACCCTTCGGTAATAATAACAGCAGCTGCTCTGAGAGCCCAGCCAGGCCCGACCCCGCCTTCTAACCCTCTGCTGCCTCCTCCCTCAGGATGACACCAGTGGTGACTACAAGACCGCCCTGCTGAACCTGGTGGGCAGCGACGCATGAAGTCCCTGAAGGATGAGAATCAAGGCCAAGAAGCAGGGCCCCGGCCCGCCGCACGACCTTGGCCATGGGTGGGGCAGGGGGACCTCAGCTGGCTTCCAGTCTTCTGTCTCCCCGTGCTTTCCCCCAACACGCTTGACCCAGAGGATGACAGTGGCTCCGGCTCCTCCTTCCGCCTTCTCCCCAAGGTCACTTCTGGTGTGCGCACAAGGACAAACAGCAAAGCGCTTGCTGGACCAGTGCGCCAGCCTGCTCCTGGGTCACCTCTTCCTCCTAGCCAGAGCCGTGCTGAGCCTGACGGGTCACAGCATTTCCCAGGCACTGGTTATCCCTGGCCCTGCCCCGTGCACTCCACCAGGGATCCCCCGGGAGCAGGGAACTAGCGTCCCAGTTATGTGTGTCCTTATCAGCCACCAGCCAGGGTCCTGACCCAAGGACTGCTCTGTCCTTCAGAAACCACTTTTATCTGCTTTTTCAGGTTCAGTCCCACACCCCGAGTGTGACTCATTCTGACCCAAGGCCACCAAGCCCGGAGGCCTGCAGAGACCTGACCCCATCTGCCCAGCTGTTGTGAGGGCTTTCAGAAAGATAAACATCTGCATGTTTAGGCAGGGAGCACAGCAAGGTCAGTTTCACTGGCTGGAAGCAGAGTTTCGGGAGCCATGAGGCCTCCCACCACTGCCCTGGGCGACTCCTGTGGACACCTATGTCTCTACTGGCTTCTGGTTTTATACTCTAGACGCTGATGCCTCTGGCTTGGAAGGGGCTTTTAAAAATCACCTGTTCCTCCCTACTGCACCGTGACTGCCCTCGGTGGCACATAGCCTGCATCCGTCACCCGAGAGGTAGTTGGTTTGTTCTTGGGGTGCGTGGGGTGCACCCGGCTGCCTCCAACAACGGGGACCCACAGCCTCCTCGGGCGGCCCAGTCTTTCCCCAGAGCCGATTCACACAGTTCACGCCCACTGTGCCCACTAGGATCTGCCAGCCAGGGCCCAGCACATCCGCTTTCCCAGCAGCAACACAGCCAGCCGTGGATTCCTCTGAGACTTGGTTTAGTCCTCCTGCCCCTCCTGGAGCCTTCTCAGGGCCCGTGGCCTCGGCCTCTGATCAGGACCCAGTGCACAGCTTCAGAGGGTGACCCCGAGGGGAAAGAGCACATCCTGGAATGAGAGGTTGGGGGCCACACAGGGTGGGCTCTGAGCTCACACAGATGGGTAAGGGCCCTGGCTCGGCCTGCCTGGCTCCATGGTACCCTGACACCTCTCTCTCCCTCCTTCCCTCTCTCAATCTCTCTCTCCCCCTCTCTCTCTCATTCTTCCTGTGCCTTTCTCTCCCCTTCCCCTTCTCCTCATCCCTCTCTCCCTCTCTTTGAGTCACAAGGCAACTGCTTCCCTGTTCCCTGTACCTAAGACATCACAAGCCACCCAAGCATCAAGGTAGGGAACGCAGGGTTGGACCCATCAGTGAGAGAAGGGTCAAACTATTACAGGCAGTTGAATTAGCTAGAAACAGGCAGGAGGGGCTGTGGATTTAGCTCGGTGGCATAAGCACCTGCCTTGCAAGCACACAGTCAAGAGTTTGATCCCTGGTACCAATAAACAAAAAAAAAATAGCTAGGAAAATTAAAGATGTGGAATCTATGGCTGAGATTGCATCTGAAGAAGGTACGGTCTCAAGATAAAATCGTGAGGTGGCCAGACTCACAGACTTCCCTAAGGGGCAAACAGAAACCCGGGACTATATTATAATTGTACCACCCAGTCCATGAAGTCCAGGGAGGCGTCAGACACCCAGCTGGGGGACCAGCGCATCCCTTTCCCCAAAGCATTCCTGTTTTAGATAAGCCACACAGGCCCGCTACGCACCTGCTTCCTCACTGGATCAACATTAGCTGAGCAGCTACACATGTGTCATCCTGTACGTTGGCTATAGTTTGCTCCACATTGTGATTTTGCTGTATAAATTACCCAACAGCCGGTCACGGTGGTGCACACCTGTAATCCCAGCACTCAGGAGGCTGAGGCAGGAGGATCACTGAGAGTTCAAGGCCAGCCTGGGCTACGAAGTATGTTCAAAGTCAGCCTGAGCTACAGAGCGAGACCCTGCCTCAGTAAATAAGGAAATAAATAACCCCTGACGGTGGCAACCCACTTGGGGCCCCTTCCATCTCAGGAGCTGCCTTTCAACAAACCTTTCCTACTCTTAATCTCCTCTGTCACTTGGAACTCATTCTTTGATTCAGAGGATAGAAACCTGCACATCTCGCGTCTCACATGTCAGGAGTTATATTTCTCCCCCATCTGAAGAACTGGAGGGCTCTGTGTTTTAACCGAGCACCAGAGGTGCCGGGGCAGTGAGACCCTGCACCCTCATGGCTGCTGTCTCAGGGGCCAGGTCTCAAGCTTTTGGGTGGGGATCATCAGCAGAGGCAGGGGATGTGCAAGACGGCCAGTCTGTGCCAGGATTTCTTAGTCTGCTCAAGCAGCCATGGAAAAAACTGCACGGATGCTGGGGGCTCTGATGGCCTCTGCCTGCTCCTGGCGACCCTGGGAAGTCTGGGGCTCCGCGGCTCTCCCAGGAGGCCCTGTCCCTGTGTGTCCTCACAGGGCCTGGCCTGTGCGCCCACACCAGAGGGGAAGACAGCCCAGCTCTCCCTTCCAGAGCCCTGCCGAGGGCCCCACCCGTGACCTCCCCAGCCCGGGAACCGCAAGTTTCACACCCGCCGGAGTATGGCTCCTTGGTAGCGGCCCGGGGCAGGGCTCTGTTTGCTTTTCTTTTTTAGTTCATGTTCTACCCTGGACTTCCTCAGTGCTGAGTCAGAGCTGCCTCTGCCAGTGCTTTGGGAAGGCAGAAGGGGCTCCCCTGCCCTGCCATCTGGAGCCCGCTGGTTTGGGGGCACGGGATTCGCTTGCGGCTCACCCCAAAGGGGCCTCATGTGGCCAAATAGGAGCCCAGAGCATGGCTGCAACCAACAAGACTGCCCAGGAGACAGCATCCTGTCCAGCATGGGGACTGGCTGGGGACAGGCAAGGCTTGGTCACCGCTCCTGAGGGGACAGAACGGACACTCCTGCCCCAGAGAGAGCACAGGGATGGACAGAAACAGGACCCTGACGGGGGGTTACGGGGCCTCTTTAGAGGTGACCCCAGCTGAGTGTGTTCTCAGGTGACTTGTGGGGGCTGGGGCAGGAAGGGGACCCAGTAGGACACGGGAAACACCCTCAGCAGCCCTGGGCACCCATGCTGGAACAACTTTTCCAGTGTTCTCATGGAAAGTCACATTCCTGCGATATGTTTCTAAGTCATGTTTGGGGCTTTTTTGTTCATAAAGGCATTTTGGGTCTGCTCAGAGTGACCTCAACAGGAGGCATAACAGAGTCTCGGGGTGGCTGCACGCTGCCAGGGTCCTGTGCCTCCTGTGAGGCCATCTGTGCCTGCCTTGTCAAACGCATTTCCAGAAAGCTCTGCTTGGTTGCTTCAACCAGAATCCCCTACCTGGGTACAGGATCTGTTCTTTGTCCCTGCTGTCCCCCAGCAAAGCCTGGTCACCCTGCCTGCCTTCAGCCCGAGTTCTGTTGGACCACATTAGCCAGAAGCCCAGGGCTTTCCTTAGTCATCTTCTACCCACTGACCCTCAGGGAAGAAGTACAAGATTCCACTTCCCAGACTGCAATGGAACCGTGGTGGTGGCCGAGGTGGTGGCCATGATGGTGGAGACCGTACATAAGGAGCTCTGCTCTCAGATCTCAGGGGTTGGGCTCCTTTACTTCCACGACTAGCCCAGCAGCCAAGCCAGGGCAGAGCGGGTCTCAGAGGCTGAATCCTGAGTCTGTCCATGAGCAGAGGCACGATTTTCCCCTGCCTGGATTTCTATGAGCTACCAATGGCCCTTCTCGGACATTTTGACAGCAACTAGCAACACTTGCTATATAGAATCAGGGCCCAGCTGACATTCTGTCTGTTTCTAAGTCTCCCCCAGAGAAGCTGTGAACCCCAGGAAGGCAAGCCTTTTGTTTTATTCACTTTTAAACATTTGGTGGTCATTCAGTGGACAGTTTTCACTGAACAACATCAACGAGGAGACAGAATCTGGGGACAGAAGATCCCGCAAAACTGTGAACCTGCACTGTCTTCTTAGGTCTCAGATTCTGAGCAGACTCTCTGGGCTCCTTGGGGAAGGCACCCCCATCCAGCCTTGGTGACAACCATCCTGAGAGGGACCTAAGGGGAGGGTGGTGGCTGCTGTCAGCTCCTATAGGAGCTCTGAGGCCCCAGGCCCTGCTCCCGGCTCTGCCCCTGCACTCCTGTTGGAGCCCACTGATGAGAGCCTGCCACCCTGCCATGAGCCCAGCGGGGCCTGAGGCCCAGGCCAGGGACTCACGCACAGGCCCGTTTCACAGTGTTGGCAGGGCAAGGCTGGAATGCGGGGCTTGGCCTTTTTACTGTGTGTCCTGGGGTGGGGAAGGCGCACCTGCCTGCTGGGTGATCACACAGGCACTGTCAGGATCCTCTGGGCAGGCAGTAGGGGGCACAGGTTTGGGGATGGCAGTGGGCCCTGTGACCATGGTCAAGCACTCTGCCCGCTACCTGGCTGAGGCTGGCTGCACATGGTAGCCTGGGGAGGGGGAGTTTGAGCAGCTGCAAGATGACTCAGGGCTTATCTCATAAATAGGTCCAGGGGGAACATTCCAGGGCCAGGGAGGAGCACAGGCAACAGAAGGTATGCGGTCTGCACCGGGCTGCGGAAGAAGTGTCCGGTGAGAGCCAGCGGAGGCGGAGTCCAGAGAGGAAGGTGCGGGTGGCCAGGTGAGGGGGCTGGGCCCTCAGGCTGAGAAACTCAAAGGGCTCCCAGGGACACAGGAACCCTCCCCAGGGGACGGGTAGGGAGGCGGGTTTTAGGAAGATCCCTGGCCGCAGAGTGGACAGTGATGAGCATGGCCAGCGAAGCCCAGCGCCAAGGTCATGACCACTCTGTACTGTGCACAACACACAACCGTTTCCCCGGCCATGCAGCCCTGTGCTTCATGGACCTGAGATAATTCCCAGGGAGGAGGCTCTGTGGCTGGCCTGGTCCCAGGAGCCTTTCTGAAGCTGGTCTGTGTACTCTCCTCCATATCTAACTCCTCCAAGAGTCCTGGCCTGAGCTG